ATGTCCACTATTTCAAAACAATATTTCTTTTCTAGTGTTCATCTTGGATTTTAGATGTTCCTCAAATCACATATTTTTTTGTAGGACTGTAATATCGATGTCCAGGCATAAAATAAATCTTTGAGCAATTTCCCTATAAGAGTTGTTTTATGCCTCCCCTAGGATTTCATGCAACATGCACCCATTTCAAGTCATGGTGACAATGTTGTTTTGGAAATAATTCATGGTAAGAAGTATACTCCCCTTCATAAAGATGATTCATGTCAATAAGACAAGTAGTTTAAGAAGAGATTTCTCAACTTGCATTGTGATGAATGGACTAATTTTGACCTTTTGGATCAGATGGAAAAATATTGCCGACTGTATTGACACCATCAAGGTCTCTTTGTATGTGGGATCATGAGGGTCAGTAGTGTGTTTTGAGGACATTACAATTATAATGAACTTCCAGAGGCCACATGCATAGCTCCAATTCCTTGTCTGGGTTTGGCTTCACTTTCGGTTCTGTCAGCTCTTCAGGTATAAAACCACTAATTCATAGCCCCATTGCTTTCTATGTTAAATTCTGCAATTTAAGGCATTAATGGCTACTTTGTCTTAAGTTCAAATAAAGTGTCAGTCATTTCATGTCAAAACTATACATTATCCCGACTTGTGCTGAAAAATTCAACATACCTTTAATTGCATATTAGAGCCTACTGGTTCCCGGAAGTTTTGATAGTACAAAAACAGGTACTTATGATCTGAACAACAGGGCAAATGTGCCCTCCTATTATAATTTTATATACTTTTTTATTATTCAAAAGAAACTTTCAACAAGTGCTCTACAGTGATCCAAAGTCCCCAAGCTTTCATTTGATACCAAAACTACCCAAATATTTCACCTATTGACAAAGATACAGCTATGCGTAGGAACTATTTTGTTTTAAATATGTACTACTTTCTTATATGTTCTTTCCGACCGGGCCCGAATTAGTGGTTCTATACCTTCAACAATTGTATTAACTTTTGGACTTGCAGTTACTTTGACCTAGATCACCACTTTAGGGACATTAGATGTCAAAACGTACATCTTGAGTAATAAAATTGGTACTGTTAATGTTATTCCTGAGGTTTTTAAACTTTAAAAGTGTCCTACTAAATGCAAACCGTTGGCAATGTGATGGAACTATCATAGATACATCTGATTGTGCAAAAACATTTTATAGGACATCAGTGCTTAAATGAAGATTATTATTGGCCAACTTATAAAAGATATAATACTATCCATCTTCTTGAAATATAGATTCAGATTATATAAAGTTTGATAAGCCCTACATTTTCTTGAAACAAGATCTATAATAGCCACATTTATCAGCTTTTACAAAAAAATATTCAGGGGTTCATCTATTTCACAAAGATCCACAACTGTATTGTTTTAATTGAAATAAAATGCTCCGCTAGGGCGCAGCTTGATACGACTGCAGAGGTCGAACCCTGAACAGTTGGGGCAAGTATGGACACAACATTCAAGCTTAATACAGCACTGAATTTGGATTGTAATTAAATATTTGACACAGCATAGGTTTCTGACACAGAATGAATGTGGTCTAAGAACTTAAAAATTTTTAATTTACCTATTCAAACCATATCATTATTATTTTCTTTTATATATAAATCAGAAATAACCAATTTAAAATGAAAAATTTTAAAGAAAACAAGAAATGATTGTAACAGGATGCTGTTACGAAGTCTCCCAAACGAAGCTCCCATAATTCGTAATTCCCAAGGTCGCCTGACATTGGGCAATGTCCAGTGAAAATTGGTTTGGTCCAGTAAAGTTATATGCATTAGTGATGCCTGGGGACTAACCCTGTATATCATTCAAATCATCTTGGCATGACAAACCTGAATATATATGGTTTAGGGGTGGGGATCTCGACCATTTACAAGATACTAGAACATTGGGGGTGGGGGGAACCCCTAGGGACTGACCCTGTACGTCATTCAAATGTTTGAGACATGAGGAACAGGAATATATATGGTTTAGGGGTGGGGATCTCGACCATTTACAAGATATTAGAACTTTCTCAAATGGCAGGGGGTCGGGATGACCCCTGGGGACTAACCCTGTATATCATTCAAACCATCTTCGCATGAAAAACCTGAATATATATGGTTTAGGGGTGGGATCTTGACCACTTACAAGATATTAGAACTTTCTTAAATGGCAGGGGGTGGGGGTGACCCCTGGGGACTAACCCTGTATTTCATTTGATGTGCTTTATCATGACAAACCAGAATATATATGGTTTAGGGGTGGGGATCTCGACCATTTACAAGATATTAGAACTTTCTCAAATGGCAGGGGGTGGGGATGACCCCTGGGGACTAACCCTGTATATCATTCAAACCATCATATATATGGTTTAGGGGAGGGGATCTTGACCACTTACAAGATATTTGAACTTTCTTAAATGGCAGGGGGTGGGGGTGACCCCTGAAGACTAATCCTGTATTTCATTTGATGTGCTTTATCATGACAAACCATAATATATATGGTTTAGGGGTGGGGATCTTGACCATTTACAAGATATTAAATCTTTCTTTTTTTTTTGCCCTTTTATGGCCCTAATTCCTAAAATTTTGAGGGAATAACCCCCAAAATCAATCCCAGCCTTCCCTTTGTGGTATGGTACCTTGCAGTACAATTTCAGAGAGATCCATACACTTGAACACAAGATATTGTCTGGAAACTAGAAAAATGCTTATTTTTGGCCCCTTATTCCTAAACGTTTTGGGCAATTACCCCCAAACTCAATTCCAGCTTTCCCCTTGTGATATGGAACCTTGTAGTACAATTTCATAAAGATCCATACACTTACACACAAGTTATTGTCATGAAACTAGAAAAATGCTTGTTTTTTGCCCCTTTTTGGCCCCTAATTCCTAAAATTTGGAGGCAATTACCCCCAAAATCAATCCCAGCATTCCCTTTGTGATATGGAACCTTGTGATACAATGTCAGAGAGATCCATACACTTACACATAAGTTATTGTCATGAAACTAGAAAAATGCTTGTTTTTTGCCCCTTTTTGGCCCCCAATTCCTAAAATTTGGAGGCAATTACCCCCAAAATCAATCCCAGCATTCCCTTTGTGATATGGAACCTTGTGATACAATGTCAGAGAGATCCATACACTTACACATAAGTTATTGTCATGAAACTAGAAAAATGCTTGTTTTTTGCCCCTTTTTGGCCCCTAATTCCTAAAATTTGGAGGCAATAACCCCCAAAATCAATCCCAGTATTCCCTTTGTGATATGGAACCTTGTGGTACAATGTCAGAGAGATCCATACACTTACACACAAGTTATGTCTGGAAGTTACAAAAATGCTTATTTTTGGCCCCTAATTCCTTAACTGTTGGTACCTTAACCCCCAAAATCAATCCCCACCTTCCTTTTGTGGTATTGAACCTTATGGTAAAATTTCATAGAGATCCATTCACTTAAACTTAAGTTAGAGTGCGAAAACCAATGTGTCTTTGGACGACAACGACGACGATGCCAACGTCATACCAATATACGACCGCAAAATTATAAAAAGGTGAAATTTGATGAATTGTGTCATTAAGCTTGCAATAAAATAACAATGTTGAGTGTTTCTCTTTGGTTTTCAGTTCTTGTATATGAATCAAAGTGAATCTGAACAATCAACTATACAAGTGGTTAAAAATTCGTAAGGGTTCCGCGGAACCCAGTGTCTCGCCTACTTTTGGTGTTAATTGCAGGCTCAACAAAAATGAGGAAAAAAATTAATAAAAATATTCCTCTCTATACTATCTTTTGATTGTAAGTAGCTTGTCCAGGTTTGGTAAAAATCCAGGATAATTTATGAATCTAATGTTTTAAAAACTGAAACTGTAGAATGTATGTAATGTTGACTGGAAGAAAAACTAAGTCCATTTATAAGTAAAATACGGAAAAAATGGAACAAAATTTTATCAAAATTTCCTTCTAGATACTAGCTTTTGATCATAAACAAGCTTCTGTCCAAGTGTGGTAGAAATCCAGGATAGTTTAAGAAAGTTATTAAAATTTTAAAAACTTTAACCACAGAGTGAATGTTATGTTAACTGGCAGAAAAACTAAGTCCATTTATAAGTAAAATATGGAAAAATGGAATTTTTATTTCTACAAAATTTACTTCTGGATACTATCTTATGATCATAAACAAGCTTCTTTCCAAGTTTGGTACAAATCCAAGATAGTTTAAGAAAGTTGTTAAAATTTTAAAAACTTTAACCACAGAGTGAATGTAATGTTTCCCAGGCAGAAAAACTAAGTCCATTTAAAAGTAAAATATGGAAAAATGGATTTTTTTTTACAAAATTTACTTCTGGATACTATCTTATGATCATAAACAAGCTTCTTTCCAAGTTTGGTAGAAATCCAGGATAGTTTAAGAAAGTTATTAAAATTTTAAAAACTTTAACCACAGAGTGAATGTTATGTTAACTGGCAGAAAAACTAAGTCCATTTATAAGTAAAATATGGAAAAATGGAATTTTTATTTCTACAAAATTTACTTCTGGATACTATCTTATGATCATAAACAAGCTTCTTTCCAAGTTTGGTAGAAATCCAGGATAGTTTAAGAAAGTTATTAAAATTTCAAAAACTTTAACCACAGAGTGAATGTAATGTTTCCTGGCAGAAAAACTAAGTCCACTTATAAGTAAAATACGGAAAAAATGGAATTTTTTTTTTACACAATTTACTTTTGAATATAATCTTATGATCATAAACAAGCTTCTGTCCAAGTTTGGTAGAAATCCAGGACAGTTTAAGAAAGTTATTAAAATTTCAAAAACTTTAACCACAGAGTGAATATTTGTGGACGCCGCCGCCGACGGAATGTAGGATCGCTATGTCTCGCTTTTTCGACAAAAGTCGAAGGCTCAACAAAAATGATAATCATAATGTCCTCCCAAGGCCATAAGTAAACAAGACATGATTATGTTGAATGTACATTTGCATAGTCTTTTATTTATAAGTTATATACAAATATACACAATATGCTGTAAATGCACTGATAGCAATATATGTACATCTGGATGGAATGATATTACTCTTATATAAACAAGTCCAAATCGGAATCCACGGAATGATTGGTAAAAATTTATACACTTTTTCATTATGGTGTAAATTCATGTAACTAGAAAGATATATTATTCAACAATGTATTTTGAAAAAAAAACAAGAGCTGAGTTTAAAGTTGTATTCCTGTTTGAAAACTTGACAAGATTTTTATCATATGACTTAAAATTTCTATATTAAGGTAGATGTATATATCATGTATGGTTTTGGTTGAACACAAAAGGTGCCAGTCCTTTATGAAGAAAACAATGTATGAAGTATAGCTGAAAGCTGAAACCAGCAAAAATAAAAATGTTCTATATGATATCAATTGAGACTGGACATCTTAACTATCAAAGGTACTGTTTTCAAAAACAGTAGTAATACTTGTGAGTGCAGGTTTTACACACTTTATAAGAAGTTACAAATTCATAAATCTTACATTCTGTTTCAAGAAACCACACCATGAACATTTTGTGTGACTGCACATAGGTTTAAACAGAAATTTTAATACAATTTTAAGAATTAAAACCATTAAATTACAACCAAGATTATGTATTGTATTTCAAAACCCTAAAGACATCAATGTTTAATTTTACAGTCACAAATAATGTTTCAATTCAACTAATTTGCTACATAGTTTTCCAGTTTTTGGACTTGTTTATTAATAAACATGTTTTAAACAATCCTATCAAGTTTTATACAACCCCAAAATAACAGAGGTATACAATTATCAGGTTTAATTTATTGATATAATCTGGCTAGCCATTCTAATCAAATTAGGTTAATACCAAATTAAAAATAATCATAAATTATTAAAAAGGAACCAACCAATATATATGTTCCTTTCTTCACAGTGAATTAAGGATGTTTGCTCTTCTTTGTTTTTGAATTTTTGCCAGATTTTCGGAATCCTCTGGTTTTATCCATGTATTGCCATTAAAACATTTTGCCCGCTAACCCCTACTTTTCTTTTTATAATTTTATTACGTATAGTTTAAAAAGCCATATTTGAAAATCTTATAAAATCCTTGTTATTTTTTCATAGTTTTTGAAACAAAAAAGCGGCCAATGTAAACAGTATGAAAAATCTAGAGAGAATCATTTCCCGCCAAATATTTAATGACTTATATCTCGAAAACAAGCACATGGACCCTTCATTTTTTTCTGCTTTTATAGTTCCTTTATTTATATACTATCATTTTAAAACAGTCATTTAAAAAGCTTGTTATTCTGAAACAGAGTAGCGAACATCCTTAAGACAAGATTTAACCATAAGTCCCGACCATTTAAGTATAGATGTAAAGGACCACACTTGGCTTTATCCCTGACTTACTGTGTGCAGTGATTTACAGAAGCTTTTGAAAAATGTATACTTCTGCTGAAACCTGAGTAAATGTGACACCTCTTTTAAACATATTGACACTTAAAATAAACTGACCATAATCAATAACATGAGCAAATGATTACCCAATAGGAGTCAACAATAATCTTATTGTAACAGAAATTAAGCACTGTTCTTATAGTTTTATCTTGAACTTTTTCTTCTTTTACTGTAATTTTCAATCCTAGATAGATGGATATAGATTAAGCATGTTGATAATTGATACAGGTATTTCAATAAGGGAGCCTTAGAGCCATTCTTTCACTAAAATTTACCAGTTAAAATAACAAAAATAATAAATTACCAGCTTGTAAGCCATGAACATTTCAGACAACTTAAGATCAATTTTAATAGTAAGATTTTATTATGAAATGAGTCACCTATGCTTATGTCAATTATTGTTTGTTTTAAGTTAGTACATATTTTGACTTGGAAAGATGAGAATCAATGTATGTCTGACAGATAAAAGAATAAAATCCACACTTGATACAGACGATTAAATAATAAATCCAATGGTAAAGAGATCAGCTGATTTTTACGTTAAAATCAGTTTCCTTCTTTGAAATTCAACCAGTTTTTAAGTAAATAAGATATTTTAATAACTGTTGATTAAATGTTATTCATGGGATGTCAATTTTTCATTAAATAAAAACCTGCTAGAATGTAGACCAACAGCTCAAATAAACAAAGAAATGGAAATCAAATATTCCTTCCAAATCTGACTATTACCACTTAAAACTAAATGAAGAAACAATAAAAATGTATAATCCGCTATCAGAAAAAAATCTATGGTCATTTTGTGAAGTTTTTCGTTTTAGTTAAGTTGTGATGTGGCCTTTAAGTATCCATTCAAAATGCATTGTGTTTTATCAGTCAGAATTGATTGATTCATTGTCTAATGCTGTGTCAGCATGTATTGGTTTCTCAGTGAGAAATACATTTTTCCTTTAGTATATAACAAGAAAGTGTGTCCATAGGAACCCATGCCCTGCTTGCACTATCATATTTCCATGTTCAGTGAATGCAAAACCTTGGTCACAACCCTAATCTGGCATATATTTAAAAAAAAAGTTAATATCATAATAAACATGTAAACTGAGCCTCAAGTTGGTTCGACCACAACTTCACAGTAAACTACCTTCATCCGAAACTTTGACCTACATTAAAACAAAAACTTTAACCTGATAATGGGACATGTAGATGAAAAGGCAATCGGAAAGCATAATGTCCCTACTATTGTAGCCTGAGCATAAAAATTACAAATTCATAACAGATTTCATTCCAAATGCATTGCAACTACACAATAAAACAAATCATCAGAATTACACACGTCCTGAATTTCACGTTTTCTTGCACCACAATGTAACAGAGAAAAATTAAAATAGCACTATAAATAAATAACCTATGAATGCAAGGGAGAATAAATGAATCATTCGCAAAATAAAAATCTAATTTAAAATTATGCATTGTAAATATCAAGTACAACCTTAAATCTCCACCAATCAATATAAATACTAGATCCTGTCTGACCAAATACCACTTGCCAATACTGGATCAATTAAAGAGCAATGCTGTAAAGTCATACATAATACAGTTTTATAAGTGTCTTTGTATTATGTGAAAGCTCAACAGGACATTTGGTTTCACATTTATCATAACCCCCCAAAAAGTTAATCTCATGATATTGTGTCAACAGTTGTTTCATCCTTATAATGACAAATTTGACCAATAGGAACGATTTCTAATTATTTTACATGCAATCTTCCAAATTCATATTCATTTGTAACCCTTTACATTTTTATTCCAGGTCTAAGGGAAAACTTGTGATATAAAACTGGAGATTTTTTTCTAAACAACATAAAGGAATGGTATTGAAATGTTTATTCAGAGAAATCTTTTTTCCCCCATTGATATCTTCTGGATTGTTCGAACAGTAACTACAACTCTTAAGAAATAAAAACTTTATATTTCTGAGATTAAAAATAAAAAGTAATCATATCATATCTCCTTATTTTTATAAATTGTTAAAAAAAAATATTTCTCTTGCCATTACTTTAAATTTTTTCATCATTTAACTAGGCTGGCATCAAATTTCAGTAAAATTGTTCTGAATCTTCAATATGAAGCAGGCGCACAATTTATAAAATTTATGACTTATTCTGTTTTTTTTGTTGAGAAATTTATACTTTTAACCATAGGTAAGTTTTAGGGTCATCATACTTATCTTTTTTTCTTATTTGATCAACTTGACACATACTTATCAGATACTGATATATTCATATATGCATGTCATTGATTGCCTTATGTATTGAAAATGTGAAGAAATATACAATTAGAATATTGAAATTTGAAAGGGAATGATCACAAAATACATGTTTGTAATACCTTGTACACAGATAAATAATTAAACATTGACAAAGAAATAGGCTTTCACTTTGACTTTGAGACAGTACAGAAATTCTTTAATGAACATTCATGTAACAATATCCATAAAATCAGCATTAAAATAAACATAGTACATCGCTAAACAAAAAAAATAAGAGCGAAAAATCTACATTGAGAATATCATCCCAAAAGAACACTTCATAACTGTATTGCCTTAAATATTGTTCAATTAAAATAATAGTATCACATTTTAGGAAATAATTACAAGTGCCTATCTCATGAAAGATAAAAAAAAACAAAGTAAAGCTAATTGAAAACATGCTGCATTTCATATTCACCACTCTCAGACTAGACTACTGCATCACCTCCAATATCTCTTACTTATTAAACAATGGAATGATAGTGAGAAATATTTTGTATAACATTTTATAGAATGTTAACAAATGGGTTTACCCTTTATTAAAATAAAAAAGGATGAGATTAATATATTTAAGGGGAGGGGGTGCATTGAGTCAGTGACCAATAATTAAATTTTACCCAAAACAGATATCTATAATTCACCATTCTTTTTATATTTATTTGAATTAAGGTGACTTATTTTTGAAATTTGAGTTTACCATTACTTGTTACCCATACAGAATATGCATTTTACTGCAAATTACTGTGCAATGGAAAATTTTGTTATCCAATTTGATGATAAAAAAAATTTCAACAGAAAAATTGTGTAACCAGAGAGGATTCTGGCATCTAACTTCATACATTACAGAAAAGATGAACATGCACACCTAAGAATCATATTTCAGGAGACAGGCACTTGAATATTCTCAGCACCAATCAGCAATATAATTGAAATCTTTGAACATTGATTGATCATCAGATAAAAGTTCTCGTCTGTCCTTAGCAGGAGTGAGTCTTGGTTGTTCTTGCGTAAATTCCTCATCAAAATTGCTTACATCTTCTGCAGTTTTCTGTAACATATAATGAAAATGTACCAAGAGAATGGATGCTGCTTTTAAAAATAATTATGTTTAAGTGCCAATCTGCCTCAGAATCAGGAAGTGGTGAAAACATGACAAACAAAAACCCACTCAAGTTGACATTAATTTATGTTCAAATTGTATAATGATGCACGAATATAACATTCGTTTCCTTTTCCTGTTCTGGTAATTCAAGGTATAATTTGGTTGAAATGCACTAGAAATTAACAATTAAGGGGAGCTAACTCTGTAATTTGCTATCATTCTAACCAAAAGTTATCTAGAGATTTCTCGAATTACCAGACACGCAGAAACAAAAGAAATACCATTTCTAACTCAGGATGACGGTAACTTCAAAATATGATGGTTAGGTCGGTGGGTTTTTTTTGGCAATGTTTTGAAATTTTTCTAAAATTGCCCAATTCTTACAAAGACTGGCACTTAAGTTATCAATCAAGATATGAATATTTTTAGTATGAACAGAAATGCAATGATGGTCATAAGATAGCTGACAAGCTGAGTCTGGAAGGTTTTAGGTTTGATTCAAAGCCCTGTCAAACATTTACTATGGAATTTTATTTGCCGCCTAGCACACAAATACCTATACATTAATATGAAAAGACTGAAGAGAGTAGATCAATGTGTCCCTGTCACAATCATGGCAGGGCAAACAAATGTATTACTCAAATACAACTTATCATACTTACAACTGTTGGAGTAAATGGAGGCTTAACTTTCTTCATAAGTAGGTCATCCCAATTCAAATTCTGAAGAAGCAAAAATATTATCAATAAAAAATGTCCAAGTCATATTCTATCAATACAATCTGATGCAAATAAGAACCAGTAAAAATAAAGTAATCATAGCATTCCTTTACAAATTGCTGACATTCCAAACAACTTTCAAAAGTAATGGCAATGGAACTGTATAATATTGTAAATCTGAAGTTTGGTGACTCCAAGAATATAACCCCCGCCCCCAAAAAATAGTACTATTTTTCCTTTTTTGCTTTTTACACTTGCAGGAAAATATTGTTAGAATTTTCAAATTACTTATTTTGCATTGAATTACATAGGCGTAGCATGCCCAAAAACAATGGTACGGTTTCGGCAAATTAGACAATTAGCATTACGGCAGGGGGTATGGGGGCTGCTCAAGGCACCCAGAAGGTCTGGGGTTAATAGCGTTAAAATCCTGCATTCTAGGTGTTACCTGGCACTAAAAATTGTTTTTGAAAAGCAGCATTTTTTACTCGACAACTTGAAAAAAAAATCAAATATGAATGTGTGTGTTCCCATCACTTGTGGGTTTAGTAGTTTGTTTTCCTTTTTTGTGTAATTTACATAACAAGATCGGTGAATGAGAACAACATTGACATATTATACCTCGCCACTTCACCACAAATCATTGCGCAAAGTGCATGCTTTATAAGAGATTTCTGTCAGTTTATTTGTTATAAAATTTTAGTATTTTAAAAAAATAAAACAATACACTGGGGTAGGCTGCAGCCGACCCAGAAACAACGATGTAAGTTGGTTCAGAGGAATGCACTCCATTCTAGACTCCATAACACACAAAAAAACTAAAATTGAAAACAATACAAGAAAAACAAAGGCCAGAGGTTCCTAACTTGGGACCGGCGCAAAATTGCAGCGGGGTTAACATGTTTTAATGTGAACTTTAAAGACAACCACTTAAGTTGACACTAGGGGGGGGTCGTCTTGACCTTGTAGGATATGATTTTTGAAAATCATGCAGCGACTGTCAAGATGAAATAAAGCACTGTGTTTCTTGATAATTTGTATCTTGTCTATATGTATTGTGTACGATTTTGGCATATGCACATTTAGTCGAGAGCTTGTCGCAATTACCGTGATTTTTTGGACAGCAGGTGTCTTGCAAGAAGGACCGGCTTACCCTTCAGGAGCACATGAGGTCGCACCTTTTTTTTCGGGGTCTGTGTTTCTTATTTGTTTTTAGTTTTAATGTTGAATGGTGTTGTTTGTCTTTGTGTGTCTTATTTGATTCCTGGTTTGTCTTTTGTCCATTGATCGCGATTCTTTTTTGGATAGCGCTTCGGTTGTCAACTCTTCTTTTTACTCCATTACACCTTTTTAACAGTTTGGTGGCTTTTTATTTTCCTGATTGAAAACTTTATTACATAAGAAATCAGATTTCCGATTTCAAAGGACTAATCATTTTTACCGGTAGTGTTTTGGGGAGCTCCTTATCTCTAATTTTACTTCGATGAAAAATGCCAAAATCACCCTTGCAAAAAGGAAAACTTTTCTTCATGTTAGAATAATAAGGAATGTTATTCCTTCCTCTTGTCTATTTTTATTATAAGTTTACCCCTATCCAAAACAAACCTTGATACCCCCCAAGAAATGGGAAGCCCCCCCCCCCCCCCCTCCCCTCTTTTCCACCTTTGTTGGTAAAAAAAACATGTAGCTTGCTTTTAAGGGTGCATCTATTCTTGACCAGCAACGGTATCGTGATTTTTATCGCGACATTCGCTTTATTAAAATCAATATTTAAATGACCAGAATAGTGATAATCATAAATACAATGCACTTTCTACAGAAATTCTACACCATTCCTACAGTTTTCCTAAATTATTGAAATGATCAATGGAAAGAGTAAATCGACGGTCTCGCGAAAAACTGCCGCCCGGTGAAGTATAGATTTTTTTTCAACATGTAAAATAATGGTGATTTATGCTCAGGGTTTATGCATATGTTACGGAAGGGCACAGTGCAGAAAGGGGTAGGAAGGGACCTTATCCCCAAATCCCGAATTAAAAAACATGACATGTCGAAGTCCCGAACAAAACCAATCCCGAATTCATTAAAAGAAAAACTGCTGGCTTCTTCGATCGTGAAAATGTTTCCAAGCTGAAGCGTTAAACTTAAAGAACTAGCAACTTTTGTGGAGATTTGCCCAATTAACTGGCGATTGTTGTTGGCTATTGCATTCTTCAGATTATCCATCATGGTATTTCAGTTTATTCAGTATGTGTCAGATTAGAGCATGAACCAATGACAACACCAAACAGCATCCATAACAAAAGCATGATTCTGATTAATTAATAATTAATTGCTAATCAATAAACCGATTACGGTACTGCTGTAACGTACGTTGACATTGCTCTGTACTTTTATCGTTGAGAGACGTTTTTTCTTTTTAATGAAAACAGGCAGGGGTAAATGTAAAACATTTATTGTATGGAAGTTTGCATAATATTCTTACATATTTTTTTTTTTGGTACGGTTTTCTGTACCTGCAGTTAAAATTGGTACGGTCGGAACCGTACCAACCGTACCGTGTGCTACGGCAGTGAATTAAATATCTAACTATCAGGAACTTACCCTAAAAAATGCTTGTTTCTTTACATCTTCAGCATCACGTTCACTTGAGCCAAGACGTCGGTCAGGATTTCGTCTCAGTAGCTAAAAAGCATAATAATTTAACAGTTACAGCTAATTTATTCAACAGATAAGACATGACATCAATTGTATAAAGCTTAACATTTAATAGTAAACACAGTGAGTGTGCAATATATCTGTCTCCCTCCTTTTGACATCAAAAGAGTTCTGAACTGCATGATAACTCTTCAAATAAATAAAAATAGGGAAGCTTGTTTTCACTAGTTGTATGACTATTGTATAATTTTATTTGAATAGGTGTAAGTTTATTGAACTTTTTGTGCAAGACAAACACAACATTGGGCCACACCAAATTATTGTCTTGTTTGTCAAAATTTTCCAACTTCCTTTTTTCTTCTTATTGTTTCAGAATTTTTTCCCAGCAGGTTGCTGGATGTTAGTTTACAAAAAACATTTCCGGTGTGAATCAATTTGAGATTTTTGAGTTGACATCGTACAAATTCGACTCAAATTAGTGAGTTTTATAAACCATGTCTATTAGCTTGGCAAAAATTGTAATTGGATATCCTACATAATCATATTTTGCCTTACTATTAGGACAACTTCCTGAAAGACCCCTTTTGCATTAACCATAATATCTTGGTGTAAATTATAGATACACCCAATCCAGGTAACGCTCTCATGAAAGTGTCTTATACTCAAATGTTAAGGCTTTTCCAGAATATATTGAATGGGGGGGGGGAGGGGTCGGACAGCACTTTTATTAAGACTTGATGGGTGGTGGTTATTTTAGACAGATAGCCTCAACAATTACATGAAATAATCAATAAAAATTTTATGCATGGTTGGGTTTAATAAAAAGTGCCTTCCAACCCCCCATACATTTATTTCTGGAAAAGCCCTAAGTGATAAGTGATATGTGGATAAATGACAAATAAATAAAAGATTCAAAGGTATCCTTGCTTGTCATTTATACATGCATCACTTAACAATTCATCTAATGAAGATAATATACAAACCCTTCTCATTATTGCAATGGCTTCTGTAGACAAGAACCTTGGATACCGGACCTCTTCATTAACAATACTGTCAAACACTTCCTCCTCATCATCACCAGGGAATGGAGACTAAAAAACATTTACAACACATCAAATCAATTAAAACCAAATTCTTCAGCTTCTATATTCCATGAAAATTGTCTTCCAATACTTTTACCCAACACAGAATGATGACTTCTTTTTTATTTATTTTTTTTTAAGGGGAGAGGGACGGAGGGACTTCATTAAATTTAAGACAATGTTTTCCTTTGTGTACAAGCATTGGCACTTTCATATCAGATTTTATTTGAATATGTAAAGGAAACAACTCATTCATTTTGAGAATTCTAGTTTATACAAAATTTCTAGAATACAAATCAGTTATTAATAGAGTAAAGTGTATTGATACACTCTTCAAAATGTAAACTCAAGGGGAGGGTTGGGCACCCGCTATTAAACATGTTTAACCCCGCCACATTCTTTATTTGCCTGTCTCAAGTCAGGAGCCTGTAATTCAGTGGTTGTCGTAGGTTCATGTCTGTCATATTTGTTTTTTTGTAAATTGTTTTGTTATAAATTAGGCCTTTAGTTTCCTCAATTGGATATATATTTTTTTATGTCTGGGCCTTTAATAGCCTAAACGGTATGGGTTTTTCTCATTGTTGAAGGCCGTACGGTTGGTTATAATTGCTTACATCCACTTCATTTGAACTTTGGTGGATAGTTGTCTCATTGGCAATCATACTACATCTCTTTATTTTTATATCAATACTATCATGATGACCATCCTGCCAGTAACAAACTTTCTTGACCATCCAGACACTGTTTTCCTGAAATCATTTCATCACAATAACTTATATTTACTTTTCATAAACTAACTGTTTGTTCTGCACTTCATGACTTCATTATCCTTTTTGAAGAATTATACAAGTTTTTAACAATTGTTCGACATTTTGTTAACCTGTAACAATAAATACACAAACATAACTGACACTAAGTACAAGTTATTTAATTTATTATAAATCTTAATATCAGACTCACCTCACCCACTAACATTTCAAATACTAATACACCTAATCCCCACCAATCAACCGAACGTGTATATGAGGTTTCCGTTAAAACTTCTGGGGCAAGAAATTCCGGCGTTCCACAAAATGTACTAGTTCTATCACTATAACCCATACTTTCTTTACATAGTCCAAAATCGGCTATTTTTAAAAATCCTTCTTTATCCAGAAGTAAATTGTCAAGTTTAAGGTCTCTGAAATTGAAGAATAATTTACAATTAAGATTTGAAATGGTTTTAATGTGTTTTAGTACATAATAATAACATGCAGTCATAAAAATCAACAATATTGAAATTCATTTCATTCAACTATCAGGTAGATTCAAATTATATAAATTAGATGCAAGTAAAACCTAAATTAGTGAAATAACTATATATTCAACTTAGAGTGTGGACACCTGTACACTTTTTTTACTTAACATAATTGTTAAGATTACAAATAAAGAGCTGGGCCATGAGCGCATGATATGCCCGTTGCTTTTTCAAAGAATAAAGTTCCATAACCCCTCAGTGTCATATCAGAAATTTAAAAAAAAACTAAAGGGAGGTTATTTTAAGAGAGATAAACCAGTCACCAAATGTTTCATGAAAACTTCTCAAAGCACTTTTGAGTTATTGTCTGAAAATTGGAAAATCACCCCTTTTTTTAGGAATAAAATCCCATAACTTGGAAATATAAAATCGAAAATTTATAAAAATCAAAAGGGAGCTTACATCAATAGATATAAACAATTCACCAAAGTTTCATGAAAACTGCTCATGGCATTTTTGAGTTATTGTCCGAAAACAGGAAAATCCCCCATTTTGAATGAATAAAACCCCATAACTCGGAAATGTAAAATCTAAAATTTATAAAAATCGAAAGGGAGCTCACGTCAATAGATATAAACAATTCACCAAAGTTTCATGTAAATTGGTTAAAGCGTTTTTGAGTTATTGCCCAACATGTTGACGATGGAAGGACAACAGTATGCCGTATTATGTCCCGTAAACAGGCGTATAAAAACTATCAATATCAAATGCTTAATGAGAATGCTATATCATTAAGGTGAGATCTCTATTAAAAACATTAAAAGATTTCTGTTGTTGGTTCTGCAAAGCCTTAAAGTCATATGAAAAGATTTACTGATGATTATAATATTAAGAAAATAAATGGGGAATGTGTCCATGGGACACAGATGATGCCCCCGCTTGCATATAACGTTATAAAGGGACATTACTCAAGAACAATTAAAGTGACACTACCAAAATTCAAACTTGATCTGAGTTTTGTGGTAATAAGCATTGTGTTTAAGTTTCATAACATTTGGTAGAGGCAAACTTGAGTTAGAGAACGGAAACGAAAAAACTCAGCAACTTTTCCATTTGTAAAGGAGCATAACTCTAGAACGGTAAAAGTGATGCCACTAAAATTCAAACTTGATCCGAGTTTTGTGGTAATTAGCATTGTGTATAAGTTGCATAACATTTGGTTGAGGCAAACTAATGTTAGAGAGAACGGAATCCAATTTCCAGACATACGGACAAGGGTAAAACTTAATGCCCCCTCCGCTACGGCAGGGGCATAATTATTGAACCATTTCATGCACATATACTAAACTAATTCATTGTTGAAGGCCGTACAGTGACCTATAGTTGTTAACTACGTCATTTGGTCTCTGGTGGAGAGCTGACTTATTGGCAATCAAACCACATCTTCTTATTTTTATACATATATACTAAACTAAGTCCTCTATGCACATTTTCAAAATTTATTAAGAATCCATAACTTATAATCGACAAAAAATAGACCATTTAGTGGTTGTCGATGCAAAACTTTGGCTGCTAATTAACTTTCGTGTTTTGTAGCCTAAGTTTACCGAATCATGAAATTGATAAACAATGAACACGGAATCATTGAGCATGTGAAAAGTAAGTGAAATAAATAGCACTACAATAATTCAATAGCAGTAAATTTCTGAAGATTTGGATAAAAGAAACGATTAAAATATATTAATCATATTCATTTTGTTGGGTAAAATAAGAAGGATCAAACGACTGTTATCAGATGAAAAAGAATGTGCTGAATGGTTGACTATTCAATGAACTGAAATGTCCAATATATTTATATGCAAGGCTCTGCATTGCAGCTGGGGACAACAAACCATTAAAGAACCTTTAGTGAGCAGCAAGCTGACATACTACATGTACATCACACTTAGACTCACCTATACACAATATAGCTCACATACTACAACACACTTAGACTCACCTAAACACAATATAGCTCACATACTACAGCACACTTAGACTCACCTATACACAATATAGCTCACATACTACAGCACACTTAGACTCACCTATACACAATATAGCTCACATACTACACCACACTTAGACTCACCTATACACAATATTATGCTCATGTAGATACTGTAATCCTAATACAACACAACCAGCGTAAAATACAGTCCGTGGTTCAGAAAACACATCTGTGTGAATGTGCATCATTAAATCTCCACCACAGGCATATTCCATCACAAATATCACATGCTCCTGAAAACAGTACAGGAATAAATATTAGTTAAATATCTTGATTCCAACACAGTTATACTCATCAACAAAAAGAATGTTCTGCATTACAAATATTAACCAAGGAATTGTATGACTAATAGATATGACAAAGTTGTAGTGTCAACTTTAAAGGATTTTCAATTTCAATGATAAAAAAAAGAAAATGAAATCTCACAGTAATGAGCTTAAGGAAATGGAAACCATAGATGTAGAGTTTTATTACCTAGTATCTACAACCATGCAAATTTGAGATAAACCTAAGTTGAATTTCAGAGAATTGATTAAAGCTTAAGGCAAGTAATCCTGATTATTTTTTAATAAAACCATTTTATATAAAAAAAAAATCCATTTCAAAGAACAAACAATAGTCAACTTACATTAGTTTGGAAGCAAGCAAATAAGTTAACAAGAAACGGATGTCTCATGGAATTTATAACTTCAAATATTCGTTTCTCCGACATTAAACTTTCCACTTCATCCCTTGCTATAATTTCTGCTTTCTTTAAAGCTTTTAATGCAAAAAATTCTTTAGTATTTCTATATTCTGCTAAAATAACCTAAAAAAGAAAAAGAAAATTTTCAAGTTATTTAATAATTAGCCAAACAATGTTTTTGGTTAGATCTTTCAAGAAATATAATTCTCCATAAACCTGATGAAAGTATAATGAAGTTATCCATTTAATTTACTGAATTAATTTGATGATCAATCCGTCTTCTGAATCATATTACAAAGTAAGTTTGCATCTCAGACAAAGAACTAATATATGCTATGATATGTTTACTTTTCTGGAGAAATTCCTGTGAATTTGCTTCATATACATTTACAACACATTTTCATCATGTGTGTTTAATATAATGAAGATATTGTAATTCAAACAGGAAAAATTGGTGGTATTTATGATGTATGATATAGTTCTACTTAAAAGATTTTTTTATGTAAAAACAAAATAAATGTTTACACACACCATTCATGATATAGTGTGACAATGAAACTTTTCAATTTTCATTGTGTTGTTGGGTTGCTGTCTCATTGACATAAAACAAACTTCTCATGTTTTATTGAGTAGTACAGTTGCTGTCTAATCATCTTATGTTTAATTGAGTTGTAGGGTTGCTGTCTAAACTTCTCATGTTTTATTGAGTTGTAGGGTTGCTGTCTAAATGTCTAATGTTTTATTGAGTTGTAGGGTTGCTGTCTAAACATCTCATATTTTATTGAGTTGTAAGGTTGCTGTCTAAACTTCTCATGCTGATATCGTTATTTAAAATAATAATCCATTTTCTACATAATAAATAGAATTTGTCTATTATCATATTAATCTCATTCTCAATAATCTTTAGGACAAGCACAATTTTTTTTTTAAGATATCTTATCAATATTCTTTTTTTTTAAAACAGCAAATTTAATAAAAATTATTATAACTTTCTGATAGGAAATAATACATTATTATACAATACCTCATTTTTAGCAATGTTTGAATGCATCTTACAAACATATAATGAAACAAATGAGGGCTGTTCCTTTGAAATGTAAAAAAAAAAAAGCTGGATTGTACTCTAAAATCCTTGCTATAATGGGAGAGGGAGGGTTGATGTCTTCAAACATGTTTAACCCTGCCACATTCTGTATGTGCCTGTCATAAGTCAGGAGCCTGTAATTCAGTGGTTGTCGTTAGTTGCTGAATATCATATTTGTTTTTCGTTCATTTTGTACATAAATTAGGCAGTTGGTTTTCTTGTTTAAATTGTTTTACATTTTTCATTTCAGAGCCTTTTATACATGTAGCTCACTATGCAGTATTGGTTTTGCTCATTGTTGAAGGCCGTACAGTGACCTATAGTTATTGACTTCTATGTCATTTGGTCTCTAGTGGAGTGTTGTCTCATTGGCAATCATACCACATCTTCTTATTTTATAATGGTCACTTTCAAAATAAAAACTCAAAAATTTGATGTTTCCATGATTGAAAAGTGCCTACCCTGGTTACCTACATACCTCAAATGGAACAGTCCAACACAACAGTAACACAACTTCTCATTAGTTGAATGAACTGTGTAACTCACTTTACTTATCTTGTATATTAAACTGACTGGACCTAATACACTCCATCATCATATTGTGTATACAATTTACTCACTTTTCCAAAATGCCCTCTACCTAATACACTAACAGCCCTAAATTCATCCATCTGTACATGTTGATCAGAGAAACTAAAAAATACGAAGCAATACCAGGATGTTACATCATGACCTTGGTAAATTTTGCCTCTATTTGGCAACTTTAGAAATGGTATCCAATATATTGATTTCAGTATTATGTGAATATTTGAACACAATCTGTCATACTTTATTGATATTCAACAAATTTGGACACTTCCTGCTATGACAAAGGAAAGGTGATACCGATACATCTAATGGAGAATTATATAAGATGAAGATTTGTTTAATTTTGTCAGTGTTCTCCCCAGGCCCTTAAAGGACCGCGGGCCCGCGATGTATAATTTTTTACCGTGGTGGTATCGTTCTTACCGCGATGTATAATTTTTCTCCGTGGTGCTAAAATTTTCAGTTAAAAAATCGTAAATCGGTAAAGTTTTAAACGACTTGTTAAATCTTTTCCGTGCGGTATAAAATTCCATGTGAAATTTGACCAGCTCAAACCAGTTCAACACAGATTGTTTACACCACATGATCGATTTACCTTATGAGGTTAACCTTGTTGATTAGATTTAATCGATGTAATTAACACTTGTAACATGATTCTTTTGTGTTTTAATTAAGAGTTCATAACTTTATGATCACAGATAACTATTTTATGGCTTCACTCTCCACCCAAGCACTGACCTGTGACAAGTCGGCAAATACTTTGTACACAAACAGTGTCTTGACCCGAAAGGTACATTTTTTGTACATCATAATGGTGGCTCATTACGTATAATGGACAACTATACATTTCCCAATTCTTATATTATAGTATTATATGTCTCTGATTAAACCATGGCCAATATTATCTTTAATTATGACATAGTTATTGCATGATAGTCAGGTTTCAAACTGTAGTATCTGTCTGTACATATCACATGACCCAGTTAGATCACGTAGAATATTCAAGTTTATTTACAATTAATTGCAATCTATTATATTTTATAAATAAAATGCATGACTGTACCTTCAAACTGGATATCTTTATCCATAATTAATGAATAACAGAAGTAATCTTGCAAATTTTATCCATAAACACATGTTAAATCTATTTATATCTACTTCCTGTCATTTAGGTGGGAAAATAGGGAGACTTAGTTGTTGACATTGAATATAGTTACTTATAGATATATAGACCAAAGATAAATTTATAGATTTAGGAATTATTTTTAAATGGTTCATGACAAATAAAGATTTAGAATTTAGGGCAGTATTAAGTCTGTATCTATGTTTGATTATCACCAAAGACAAGAAAGGTTAATATTTACATGAAATCTATGGCAAAATGTTCTAAAATTTATGAAAAATTTCTTTTTATTAAAATCTAAGATAGAAACTGGTTCAAATAATAAAACAATATTTGCAACTGTTCTTGTTAATTTTATGTCTTCTTATGACAGGAATCCTTTCACATACAACAACTTTTTTTCAAGAAACTAGAAAGTTTTTTTAAATTGAACATTTTTGTTCTCTTTTGAATGATATTTTATTTTTATTGATTTTGGATCTTATAAAAGATTTAATTACTTTAAATTCAGATGAATATTTTATTATGAATCATAATTTATTTATTTAAAAAAAATATTAAAGTATACAAACTGTTTTTTTATTTACTTCTTTTTTACCAATAATTTTCTGAATCAATGTCTACATAACACAGTACCACAGTGTTAAAACAAAACAAGAGACATAAAAACTACAGTAACTAGAGCTAAGCGACTTGACGCGATACAACTGATTGCATGAAATATTTCACCAAGAAGTCCACACGTGTTACCCTGGTGCTATCCAAAAATCCTGGGGAGAACACTGTTTGTGGAACCTTGATTTTATACTTTCAACAAATAGCTGTCCTTCAATACATTATCCTGTACATTTCTTTTAATCATCACTTGTGAATTCTAAATCTATTGAATCAACAAAAAAAAACAGATAAAAAAAACAACACCTGCATTAAATAATTGTCTTGGAAGTTTAATTAAAGAAACTAAACTTTCCTTTTCTGTAAATTCAATTGTACATCAGATAATCTAATTCCTACATTAGTACAAATTGAATGACTTTGGCTAACTATTTAATTATATGGCATTAAATTCTAATGAACTAATGGTCACATCCATGTTATGTGGACTTAAGTGAATAATGGTCCACATCTCCTTTTTCATATTGGTAACACTGGTTAACCTGATATACCAAAACATATTTAGTAAAAACTCTTTTGCAGGGAACCTTTTATTTCATTTAAGTTTAAAAACAAGACCATGATTTTAAATCAAATACATACTCTGGTTCAGGCACAACGTAGGAATTTTGTCGAGTTGATGTTTTCTGTGGAGGGGGAGGTGATGGTTGTTTATATGATGAGGGTCGATATGATGAAGTCTCTGATGAAGGTTTGGGCAGAGTGTTTATCACAACAGGTAATTCTTTATCTAAATCTATCGTACTATTGGCATCATCCCCATCAGGAAGGAAGTCAAAAGATTCTAATGCACGCTGAAAAGAAATGGTACATATTAAAGTCGTATAATTAACAAATGGTACATATCAAAGGCATATAATTTACACCATAAAAGGCTACTGCTATTTGCATCTATATGCTGTATTCTATAATGTTTTCAAAAATATCTATGCTTTAGTTATTCAAATATGCAACTCCATTTCAATCTTTGCTAAATAAACAAATACCATTTTTAGCTTTAAACAAGAATATACGTCCATCGGACACCATGCCCTGCTTGCACTTTCCTATGTCCATGTTGAATATATCATAATTCATAATCATAATTGGGCATATAATTTAAAAGTTCACCACATAATGAACCTGTGTACTAAGTTTCAAGTTGATGTGACCACAACTTTATGGTTATGTGCCTTTACCAAAATTTATCCTGTGAACAATAAATTTCACACTAAAACATTTTTATGTTCAGCATTTTCAGTGAACTATGAAGTTGGGGTCAAAACCAAAATTTGGTACATAATTAAAAATCCTCTTAAACATAAGATTAAACCTGATATGGGACGGGCTAGCAGACAAGACAAATGGATTGACAGACAGAGACCAGAAAACTTATTCCATTTCTCACCCCCCTTAACAGAGTATCAATTGCACAGAGTCCCTGCAGGAGTTACAGGAAAAGGGATTGCATTCAACTTTATAACATGATCTTGGTGCTAGTAAAGTGGTGTGAAAGTTGATATAAGACATCATAGAAGCCGTACGGGGATACAGGAAGAGAGCTACACCTCACCTTTATAGCACATTGTTAATGCTAGGGAGGTGTTGTATAGCCTCTAATAGGATATCTCAGGAGTTGGAGGATCAAGGGGAGGGGTGTTCTCACCTGTATAGCACGTTCTTGATGCTGGGGAGGTGTTGTAAAGTCTCTATTAGACATGACAGGAGGTGGAGGAGACATAGGAAGAGCAGGAACTTTTTCATCATTTGATACTGGTTCAAAATTAATAGTGTGAATAGGAGGTCCTCGGTCCTGTGCCATAATACCTGAAAGTACAAAATATAATGTCAGATATATATCTAAAAAATGCCCTTTACCTTTGAAATGTTTGCAAATATATCTAGTAAATAATGTAAATATTTTGCATATTTTAATTCAATGTCTGGTTAGTACTATCAAAGCAGTAAAGATATTTTTTTACCATTAACTGGATCAACTTTCTTCAATCTGTTCTAACATTCTCTCATGCAAAGTGTAATCAGTTCTGTAAGAATTTGTCTCTGCATTCTGAAGTTTAATTTTCATATGACAAATAAGGTCTTATTTTCATTTATTTTTCCTTACTGGGTGTTTGGATAAGGCATCCCTATTTGGTACCAGTTCCTATATCATTATATTGTATGTTCACACATTTAATGAATTTCATGCAAATTTTAACTATTTATCTTTAACATTCAGGGGCGTAGCTACCCGGAGGCACAACAGCATGTGCATCCATGTCATTTTCACAACAACAAAAATCAAAAAAACAAATTAGAGAGAGATGGAGAGAAAGGGACAGACAAAGTAAACATATAGGAATTGGTCAATCGGACAGATTGGGAGGGGTATTAACGTGATGCATCTATTATCCTAATCTTATTAAAAAATGCAAGTTAACCCTGGAAATTACGATGATATTCCAAAAGCACCTTTCAAGTGTGTTAAATACAGAAAATATATGTCATATCGATACAGTTCATAAATGAATATGTAATTGACTCCTTATAATAATTCTATTGATATGAAACGATTTACAGACACACTGAGTGATATTCTTTGTGGTATGTGACCCCCACCCCTAAACACACACAAAAAATCGGACGAAAAGTTGAAGTAGCTGGTGCACAACTTCATGTCCCTAATAAAGAAGATTCAGTGCAAGTTTCTGGGAATTCCATCAATTTGTTTTCAAGTAGTTGAGGCAATCTGTATTCATAAGCGAGTTTTGATGATCTAGTTGACGGAGGACTAGAGCATTTTTGGCGAAAAAATATGACGATATCCTTACAAATTAGGCGATACAAAAACGCTTGTATTCATAGGCAAAAAATAGCACAACTTAGTACCAAATTATTTTTCTTTAAATCATTATCCGTATTCAATGGAAATGCGATTGCAAAAACAGGATTTTTAAATTGCGTACTAGACATGCACTATACTGAATTGGCACCGTTATTCCTGCTTCCCTCTGTCTGTCACACAATAGTATAAAAAAAACAAATCAACAGCATTATTATAAATTTGCTAATTTACAAAAGGACATATTATGAAATGAAAAAGTGAGATTTGTTTGAACAAACTGATTTAACTAAAGTAAAAAGTTGAGGTTTCAAATTGTTTCTACTTTAACAGTCTGATTGGAGTTTGTTGCCTTGGGTATAAATAAAATGAAATCAAGCATAAATTTATTTTGAATAAGATACACAATGACCAAAACATATAAACCAGTGTAATTGGTTTTCCAGAACGGTTTTAGTACCGGATGAGCAAATAAGAATACAGCTTAGGATTTTGAACTATTTTCAAAATGGCTACAAAAACAAATACTCCTGATTCATTTCTTTAAACTTCTTCAAAACAAAGACTGTTTTCATATTTACATGTCGACTTTAGCAAGGAAGCTACCTCTAATTTCCAAAACAGCACCTCAGAATGGAACATACTGTGTTTGCCTCCTATTAATCAAGTTGTAATGTTTTCTATATTTATTGGAAGAGAGAGAGGGATGTGAGAGAGAGACAAGAAAATTATGCCCAATATTGAACAGCAGTTTCATTAAGAATCCATGTCAGTTTTTCTACATCTTATATAAAAAAAATGAGGTAAAATCATGCATCTTAATATAACAATTATCTGATCTTATATACCAAACAAGCATTTAGGTTCACGATTACATTTCTTTTTTGAAAGAAAGCAACTTGTTTATTATATTGTTTGGTAGTTGTCCAGTTGCAAATATTTCATGCATATTCTAGACAAGAACAAAATAATACATACGTTATTTAATCATCATATTGTGTTTATGTTTATTGTTTGTACATATTATACTTTGCTCAATACAAATACTAGCATATGGAACAAATCTCCGTGATTTTAAAAGCTCTCACGGCTTACAAAAAACGCAAACGACAATGTTTAGTCTTCATTCGACTTGAAGTTAAACAAATAGTTGACCAAAAAACCACAACAAAAATGAACATGTGATTGTTTTGAAACGCTATTTCGTGGAGCTTCCAGGGGGGGTGGGGGCTGTGCCCTGCACCCACTGGGGCCTTAGCGGCCCCCAGACCCCTCGCCCTTTAGTTTGTGATTCCACTTCATTAAGAAGGTAGCTACGCCCCTGACATTTCTAAACCATCATTTCTTTATTCATATAATTAACATAGATATTAATTAGAAACTCCATGCTTGAGTGATTGTAGATGTTATTCAGATTCGGGTTTATTATGCTTGGACCTTACTGAACATATTTAACATTTTACAACACATTTAAATTATGATTTTATAATTTAGTGATGAATTGATTGATTGTTGGTTGCTTAACGTCCAGTGGCAAATATTTTAAAAGAGTATCATTTGCCCACCTTCTTTATCAGATTTCAGGTCGTTTCTGTTGTGATGAATGTTAATAAAGATGTTATGTCATTAGGTTGTGTAACCAACTTTGAACTGTCAATCATCTATAATGTCTTCCATTTTTTTAATATGCAGAAAATAGCATGAATGCAATAAAATATATTATAAGAAGTCTGTTTTTTCGATGGTTTTTTTTATTACTATAATTTTTTTCTACTTCATGCGCTCAACAGTATCTTGTATTTCATCCATAGTTTGCATTGTTTCTTGACCTTTTATCTATTAATATCATGATGAACAAAATCTAGTACATACCAGGTGAACTTATCTGACTGGCTGGACTAAGAGCACTGGCATTATCTCTACATTCATGTGGTAAAGCTCGTTTCATCAGCCTACCCCAAGTTGCAACATTTATATTCATTTGGCCAGGTCTAAGAAAATTCTTTCCTGTAATATACAAGTAAATTTTTTTTATAACTTTTACTTACTTTTCCATATTTTACAAAATAGTTATAGATCATTTGTTTTTTCATCTCTTTCTCTTCATCTTAATATATAAATAAATAAATAAATAAGAAGTGAAAAAAGACAATGTACACATAATCCTTCACCATTACTCACGTCAAATGTTTGTTTCACAAAGTCAGCTTGTAGCTATTTATTAAAATCTAACTTTACACAAAATATAACTTTGCCATTACAAATAGTAGTCCTTCCAAGGAAGCGTTTACTATGTTTACAATATAATATCACTTATCTAACCTGACTGAGTGAGGCTTTTAAGAGACTGACCTTATTTTCAAAGTATGATAAATAAAAGTAATAACTCTTTGAAAAATCCCTTCTTAAAACTTGTCTGTTTGTCAATGAACTTTTCTTGTTACTTGGAATTTGTGTTAAATACATCTATAAATTATATTTAATCTTATTATGAAAACTACCTTTATGTTTTGGAAAAATCTTCCTCTGTCTTTGGAGTTTAGGTTTTCTCGACAATGTAGGATTTACAAATGTTATCTATAAAGGAATACAAAGTTATCTATGTAACATATTCAAATACATATTACTTGAAATTCAGAAATTATTGTGAATGCTGAGCAATAGACACAAATGTGAGATTAATTATTGCAATACCAGGAAATACTGCATATAAATATTGCTATCAGTATTCAAAATGCCAGGTTTTATTTTTTGCCAACCAATTGCAATTTTCGCAATAATAAAAACATTGTAATTATTTCTGAATTTACAGTATTTGACGTTTCTTGATAATGAATTAATCTCACAAGTAGTATCTCAAAAGTTGAATTCTCCATGCAAACTTTGAACTATGTTTGAAAAAAGAATACTACAAAAAAACTGTGTTGAACACATTCTATAAAACAAATTTTTTCTGGTCTTTTTTAATTTTTTGCTTCTTTTGTATTTATTCCGAACTTGTCTACAAAATGCTAGAATAAGAGTTTGCCATAATATTTTGGCATTTGATTATCCTCCAAGATTTTATGGTAGCTAGAAGTCTTGTTTTGGTAATATATGTATATGAACAGGAGAATATGATCCACTGATACCAAAAATGTGATATACTGTCCTCTGTTTAATTTAGGCTTGTAAGTTGTATGTAAACTTACTTCTGCAAAAAAAATTCCTTGTGGTTCTAAATGAATTGCCATTCCATGTCTCTGATTATCAAGGAAATCTTCAAGTCGTAAGAACTTTACAGCACTCATCTGTCTCCAATCTCTCCAGTAAATTGCTAACTCCAACTCTCTAGACTGTAACAAAAGTATTTTGGAATCAATTTTTGTATACTGAGGATTCATTTATTTTCGTGGGCTCCAATTTTTCGTTAAGGAAAAACTGTATTTTTGTGGATATCTGATTTCCATGATTGTACAAAAGTCTGCGTACAAGCCAATAGAAAATTTGTTCTTAGTCAAGCATTTAAGTTCCTGGTTCATCTGTACTCACTTAATCCATGAAAATAAGTATCCCACAAATAATAATTAATTCACAGTAAATAAAAATTATTCAAATCTTATATTTCTCAAAAGTGGTTTATTTGATTGTTCATCAGTAACATCAGTATCATTTTCTAAAATCAAATTCATTAGTTCAAGTACATAAGCTTTTTTTTCCATCAAAACTTTAGTTATCTTATATCTTCCCCTCATGGCTTGGTATAGGTTACCTTATGCTATAAGCCAAAGAAATGAACAAAAGAGTTATATTATTATAATTGACTCTTTTTTTTATTAACCCGATATATCAATGTTTACAGACTGAGAAAACAGATTTGCTATACTTCAATGTATGATTTTATAAAGCATTATTCATAAGAGAGACATTGAACCAGCCAATTTTCAAACAAGCATCGGCAAGTACAGTAAATGTATAATTTACCCTATCAAGTTCTATACTAAATCTTTGATCCCAGCACTGTTGACTACATGTCTTCCAGCCAGTCTGACCTACTTGAACATTGTCTAATTTTATAACAGCCATCACTTCATCTAAAATGTACCAAAATCATTAAATCAATTATTAAAACTCTAGATTTAAACAAAATATTCATCTATAAATAATAGTGTATACATACAACTTTTTCATTTGACCCTTTCAAATATTTCGATAAGTTAACTTTCAAATAAAATTATTTTTTTAAGAAGGACTATGTCAAATTGCAGGTTTCCTTTGACTATAAAATGAATCTTTATATAAAAATAGAAAATTTGTATTGAAATTTCTTAGGATATATACACAAGGACTTAACTTTAAGGTTTTTAAAATATCAATAACAGTCAAATAGATTTTAACATCTAACCAAGTGAAAAATTGACTTTTTGATCTTTAGTGGCAAAATTACTTAGTTTTGACATATAGTTACTAAGAAACAGAGGAGGTTATATAAATGCTTTAAAATAAAATGATTATACATATTAACTATTTACACTATTGTAAATCATTTATATATAAAATACTGCATGCACCTGGTATTTGTCTAAGAAGATTCATTTCAAATGGGGAAATTATTTCTAGTGGCCTTTCAATGACATCAAACTTATTATATTGTGATATAGGACTACTGAAATACCTGTTTCTCCATATAAAGTTCTAACTATAATACAGGAAATAATTTTAGGGCTGTTCTATAATAACATACATGGGACCCAGGGAAGGCACTTTCAAATCTCAACTATGGGTGGGTGTCAACAATTTTTTTGCATAGTGGAAATTTAAGTGAAATTTTAATTTGCCTCTATAGGTGGTTATCCCATTTTTAAAGTGCCTTCCCTGGGTACCATGTATGTTTTAAAGGAACAGCCCTTATGCAGATTCATAAGAAAATAAATATACAGGTCAAACCTGTATATAAAGTCACCATTAGGACCAAGAAAAGTGACCTTTAAACTGAGGTTAATAAAATGCTCCGCAGGGCGCAGCTTGATACGACCGCAGAGGTCGAACCCTGAACAGTTGGGGCAAGTATGGACACAACATTCAAGCTTGATACAGCTCTGAATTTGGATTGTGATTAAATATTTGACACAGCATAGGTTTCTGACACAGAATGAATGTGGTCTAAGAACTTAAAAATTTTAAATTGGACATTCACCTATTATGGTCCAATATCCAAAATCTAAATACATGGTTAGATTCAGCATATCAAAGAACCCCAAGAATTCAATTTTTGATGAAATCAAACAAAGTTTAATTTTGGACCCTTTTGACCTCAATGTGGACAAAGTTGATAACGGGGCCCAAAAATAAAAAATCTAAATACATGGTTAGATTCAGCATATCAAAGAACCCCATATATTCAATTTTTGTTGAAATCAAACAAAGTTTAATTTTGGACCCCGATTTGGACCAACTTGAAAACTGGGCCCATAATCAAAAATCTAAATACATGTTTAGATTCAGCATATCAAAGAACCCTAAAAATTCAATTTTTGTTAAAATCAAACTAAGTTTAATTTTGGACCCTTTGGACCTTAACGTAGACCAATTTGAAAACGGAACCAAAAATTAAGAATCTAGATACACGGTTAGATTAGGCATATCAAAGAACCCCAATAATTCATTTTTTGATGAAATCAAACAAAGTTAAATTTTGGACCCTTTGGACCTCAATGTGGACCAATTTAAAAATGGGGCCCAAAATCCAAAAACTTAATACACGGTTAGATTCAGCATATTAAAGAACCCCAAGAATTCAAGAATAAAACCCCATTGAAATTGATCAAGAAATAAGCAATTTATACGAAGTATCTTCTTTTGCACAATACTGTGCAATTGAATATTTCTTCCTATTGCGCAATACTCTACAATTGACAATTTCTTTCTATTGCGCAATATTGTGCTATTGGATATTTCTTGCTATTGCGCAATACTGTGCAATTGAAGATTTCTTGCTATTGCGCAATACTGTGCAATTGAAGATTTCTTGCTATTGTGCAATACTGTGCAATTGAAAATTTCTTGCTATTGCACAATACTTATTATATAATAATTTATACATCCTGTTTGGTGTGTATCTCCTTCCATATCATTTTTATTTGCTTTTAAATATTAATCAGAAATAACCAACATAAAATGGAAAATTTTAAAAGAAAAAAAAAAGGAAAAAAAAAAAAATCCCCCCTCCCAAATTTTTTAAACCCCCTTATGATTCACCACCCCCAAACTCAATACCAGCCTTCCCTTTGTGGTATGGTACCTTGCAGTACAATTTCAGAGAGATCCATACCCTTGAACACAAGTTATTGTCTGGAAACTAGAAAAATGCTTATTTTTGGCCCCTTTTTGGCCCCCAATTCCTAAACATTTAGGGCAATTACCCCCAAACTCAATTCCAGCTTTCCCTTTGTGATATGGAACTTTGTAGTACAATTTCAGAAATATCCAAACACTTACACACAAGTTATTGTCATGAAACTAGAAAAAATGCTTGTTTTTTGCCCCTTTTTTGGCCCCTAATTCCTAAAATTTTGAGGCAATTACCCCCAAAATCTATTACAGCCTTCCCTTTGTGATATGGAACCTTGTGGTACAATGTCACAGAGATCCATACACTTACACACAAGTTATTGTCTGGAAGTAACAAAAATGCTTATTTTTGGCCCCTAATTCCTTAACTGTTGGTACCATAACCCCCAAAATCAATCCCTACCTTCCTTTCGTGGTATTGAACCTTATGGTAAAATTTCATGGAGATCCATTCACTTAAACTAAAGTTAGAGTGCGAAAACCAATGTGTCTTCGGACGACGCCGACGACGCCAACGTCATACCAATATACGACCAAAAAATTTTTAATTTTTGCGGTCGTATAAAAATGCATCAATATTACTACAGCAAGACAAGAGAAACATGACCTGACAGATACAGATTTTTTTTTAAAAGAGATGACCTGTATAGTAGGTTTGACTGTATATATATTACAGGTTTACAGATATAACTTACTTGATACTTCCTCTTTAAAGAGGTGACCTTCATTGTAGGTTTGACTGTAGGTATATTACAGGTTTACAGATATAACTTACTTGATACTTCCTCTTTAAAGAGCTGACCTTTATTGTAGGTTTGACTGTAGGTATATTACAGGTTTACAGATATAACTTACTTGATACTTCCTCTTTAAAGAGGTGACCTTTATAGTAGGTTTGACTGTATATATTACAGGTTTACAGATACAACTTACTTGATACTTCCTCTTTAAAGAGGTGACCTTTATTGTAGGTTTGACTGTAGGTATATTACAGGTTTACAGATATAACTTACTTGATACTTCCTCTTTAAAGAGCTGACCTTTATAGTAGGTTTGACTGTATATATTACAGGTTTACAGATATTACTTGATACTTCCTCTTTAAATTAAAGAGCTGACCTTTATTGTAGGTTTGACTGTAGGTATTTTACAGGTTTACAGATATAAATTGCTTGATACTTCCTCTTTAAAGAGCTGACCTTTATAGTAGGTTTGACTGTACATGTATTACAGGTTTACAGATATAACTTACTTGATACTTCCACTTTAAAGAGGTGACTTTTATTGTAGGTTTGACTGTAGGTATATTACAGGTTTACAGATATAACTTACTTGATACTTCCTCTTTAAAGAGGTGACCTTTATAGTAGGTTTGACTGTACATGTATTACAGGTTTACAGATATAACTTACTTGATACTTCCTCTTTAACATTATAAGTTTTAGTACTGCCTCTATAGTTCTTAGACCCTCGTAACAGACTTTTACTTTCACCTGGACTAGAGAGAAGTAACTGTAGATTGTCTTTCTTTCTGCCTGGAATATCCTCTAATAAGGTCTGACAACCTACCAACCTAAAATATACAACAGACAATGAATCAATACAATACTCATTTATAGTCAAGTACATGTATGTATCTTTTACATGTATTACTGTAAATTCAGAAATTATTTAGATGCTTTTATTATGGGGAATATTGTGATGGGAAAGGTTTCTCAAAAATGAAAATTTGCATTCTTAATTTTGTAAGCACTAAATTAATATCCCATTTTTGACAAAGTGTTCAACACTTAAAAAATTAATGCATGCAGAAATTTATGAATAAACAGAATTAAATAGAATGATTGAACGAACCCTTATATGACAAAGTAATAAAGTGACCCATCAAAGTTTACATATGAATAAAAAAAAAAAGATGTCAAAGTAACATCAATGAGATACTTATTATGCCAAGTTAGACCTGTTGCACTTGTTTCAAAATTTCTAGTTCTGATAATGGCGTTTTCATAATTATATTATCGAGCTGTTGAAATTATAAAATGTTAGTTTAGATCTTTATCGGGAAAAATCAAACCTTATCAGTAACTTTTTCATTGATATTTCTTGCAAATTTCAGAAAATGGAAGTATGTCAAAACATACTTAATCTGCTAGAAAAGAAAGAGGCATTGCAATAATTAGATTCTCTACTGTTAAATAATACTCCCTACCTAACTTCCAGTTTGCCAGTAATAGCAGCAGACTTTGAGAACATTGAGGTTTCAGATTTTCTATCGTTTGTTTTAAGTAATGAAGACGAAGAATAAGCAGCATCAAGCTCTTGCTGTAAAATGTGTAATTTGGCAGATTTAGGTTCTAATTCTTCACAACGCTTTTCTAATGAGATTCTTAGTAATTCTAACTTCTGACTGGATTCTGACATTGTTGACTGTGCCTGGAAAAAAAGGATATCAAATAAGTGTCTAATTAAAACTTTAATAATAATTACTGTGGGTTCATTCTTTGTGGGATATTCACTGTACTTGTTTTTTATTTGCTGTTTGTTGGCTTTTTTAGTGTGCTTAATATGTTTACAAACATTTAATGTAATGATGGAGGATAAAAGACTGTACTGTATTCAATACATTAAATTCATTATCTCCTTGTATATGCATCAATTCTAAGTTCTAAAACTTCTGACTCTTTTGCTCCGGTTGGCATAAAATTCTTGAAAACCAATCACTTCTTTGTCTGTGGCGTCATATTTTCTGTTGTGAGAGTAAAAAATTATGTGAAAATGTTTCATTTCCTTCAATAGTGGACATTATAACTATATTCTAAATTTTTCTATTAATCTTTCTGCATGTCTATTTTCATCTCGAGCTACTAGACTGAGATGAGTAGACTGAGAATGTGATGATATCATCATTAATGTTGACTGGGAAAATGGTGATAAACAGATTATATACTGCAGCTATGCTATTTGCCCAGTCAAATTGCATTGACCGTATAATCATTTGTGATATACAGTCACTGACTGTTTATGATGTTGACAATGCGTTAACCCTAAATATTTCATTTGGAGCAGTTGTAGAAGTTGCAGTGAATAAAGAATAACCATACTTTGTCTCCAAATATAAATGTTATTTGTACTCAGCTCAGAAACAGGAAAGAAATGCTCGGCAAAGCCTCGCTTTCTACCTGTTTCTCAGTCTTGTACAAATAAAATCTATATTTCGAGACAATGTATGGTTATTCTATATATCTATGGTCTTTATAAGTCGAAATTTCTAAACTGCATCTAATTGAAGTTAAGAAACACCCTCTCATTTTCAGAAACCAACGATAATCTATTAATCTCAAAACTAGCATATTGAGTACACCATGCCATTTTCGTATGGTGGATATAAGCTGTAGTCATCTGTGCAAAAAGATATCATTTACAATATTAACAATCATGATTGATGACAATACCTCTTTCAAAGCTTTGCTGTCAGGAGATTTCGACATTTGTAATAATTTCAGGACATTTTTGGCTCCTTCTGAAACAGCTGATTCTATTTTCAAATGATGCCTCAATTCTTCTATTCTTAATTCTAAGGGAGACAAAACTTCACATCTTTGACCTGCTGGAAATATAAATAATCAATTATAAATCTGTCAAGTACATTTGGAAAATAATTAAAAGGTTTAACTTATAGAGACCAATTTCTAGGCCTTGAAGAACATTTTGATTCATGATCTCTCAGATTTACAATTAAAACTGGAATAAAATGTAATGTGTCAAGAAATGAACATAATTATATTAATAACAACCAAATTTTTTAATGTTAAATTTTAGATTTTAATGGTATCTAGTAATCACAAAGAAAGTTAATAATACAATGTATGGTAAGAAGTCCACAGTGATATTGTTGTCTTTTTTCAAAACTACCTCTACCATTTTTTTGGGGAAAAATGCATCATTTTTTTGGAAATTGGGAAGTTTTGAATAAAAATTAATTGTACTAAAACTTGAATTGTGAGACATTTTTAACTGGAATAGTCTCGTTGCACCAGAGTTATCGTTCTTACTGCGAACAATAACATATATGCCTATGGAGCGTCTGGATAATCGAGACTATAACTGGAAAGGAACTTTTTGGGGAGGGGAAAGAAACGGATTAAATGACAGTACTTAATACATTGAAAACCATGTATGTTACAAACACCCCAATGATTCTAATCAGAAACCCGGATCTCAAAACCGCTTTCATAATTTCAAACTAATAACATGAATACGAAATTTACGTACATTACTACCGATGCCATCACTGTTTTGGAAAAATGTACAACTTATTGGGAGGAATTTTATGCCATTTTTTTAGTAATTGGGAATTTTCTCTAGGGGAAAAAGACGAATTTCGGAGGTAATTTGAGAAAAACAATACCACTGAGTCCATAATGTAAAGTATCTGACAGAACAAAATAACACATTATCATCTCACTTATAATCCTGATATGGTAAAAAGTGCCTCATGTAAAGTATCTTAAACAAAATAACATTTGTCATCAAAAACATTATACAATGATATGGAAAAAAGTACCTCATGTAATATCTGATTAAATAAAATAACATTGTTATCTCACTTATAATCCTGAACATTATACAATGATATGGTAAAAACTGCCTCATGTAAAGGATCTGATCAAAGAAAGTAACACTGTCATATCACTCATAATCCTGAACATTATACAATGATATGTAAGAAGTGCCTCATGTAAAGGATCTGATCAAACAAAGTAACATTGTCATATCACTCATAATCCTGAACATTATACAATGATATGGTAAGAAGTGTCTCATGTAAAAGATTTGATCATTCAAAGTAACATTGTCATATCACTCATAATCCTGAACATTATACAATGATATGTAAGAAGTGCCTCATGTAAAGGATCTGATCAAACAAAGTAACACTGTCATATCACTCATAATCCTGAACATTATACAATGATATGGTAAGAAGTGTCTCATGTAAAGGATCTGATCAAACAAAGTAACATCATGTATAATTTGTCCAAGTCATGATCTTCTCAATTATCTGATCTTACAACAACACAAATTTCTTGTATCATGAACATGATGTACAAAGATCTTTTTCCATTTATAAATTTAAATTTAAAAATAATAGATCTGTGCATGTATAGTGGCTGAACCTAGCTAGATCTAGCATTGGAATTCACTCTTAATTTAAGGTTAACTGAACATTTTTTAGGTTTTTACAACATTTTGTACAATGCAACTTATTTTACAAGATAGTTTACAATTTTCACTATTTTCAACTGTAATTTTTTAGGTATATAAAAATATAAAATATAATATCTTGTGTTTAGACCAGCCCAATATACATGATATAATGTTTATGGTGGATGTTAAATTTTTTTTTTACAATAAAATAATATTTTGTTCTTTTGTATGATTTTTACCATCATCACAGGATGCATCTTGAGCAACTTTTAACATCTGCATCCTTATGATTTCCATCTTTGTTTTGGCATCCAATAACATCTGTTGTGCCTCAGCTAACATTTTTTTGTCACGAAATGTACCACTGCTGTACATAGCTATCATGTTCTCTGCTCCTTGCTTCACCTACAAAGGATTTATCAATCACTAACTCTCATGTTGTTTTAGATATTAATTTCTAAACAAGAACACAGCTCTATGAATTTAAATAAATTATCTTACAAAATCGTGGAAAGCAGAATTTGAAGGACCATTTAAATGGTCAACACTAAATTGTCTAAAAAAAAAACCCACCCAAAAGCATATTTTATATCATTTTACATATTTCATGGGGAAACAAATTGTCTGAAACTCTAATTTTGGTGTGGACCAACTGTTTACATGATTTAGTGCACACTGGTGCACATGAAGGCATGTATACCTTATTTTCAATTTCCAGCTGTTTCTGAAGATTGTTCAGCCTCTGAGCTAAAGGACTGTTATCACTTCCTCCATCTTTTGTGTCTGGTGACTTCAATGTATCTATGACAAAAACACACAATAATAAATTCATATATATATTGATGTCGCTTTTAATATGTAACAGAAAGTCTAATTTACCATGTTTACATCTATATAAACATAGAGAACTTTAATACTTCATCAACATGTACATAAAAATGAATGAAACATGTTTGCATATTTTTTTCTATTACAATGTACTTCATCATGTTTATATACATAGACAAGAACTAATTTGTTAACAATTTAACTTTTCATGATCCATTTTATGTTTGATCTGTAAAATACATGTGCATGCTTTAATAAAGATCTCCTTTTATTCATATAAAATTTGATAATTACAAGTTTATCTAAATTTAAACATTGGTGCTCATCCATGTCTATGGATGTAAAATTTCTCAAGATATTTTATCCAATATGAGCAACCCTTACAAATACATCTCCTTTTATTCATATTACTTCTATACAATGTATACATAAGATACTTACCAGACATTGATTCCATGTGTGTGTGACTATTTGACATCAGTAAGTTAGAATTGATCTCCAGAAGTTCATTATGTAAATCTTTTAACTTTGAGTTTGCCTTTTTCACAATACTATTAACATCCGACAAACTTTTCTTGTCTGTTGTGGCTTCCTTTAGTTTTTCTGCTCCTTCTTTAATCTTCATTTCTTTTCTGATTTCCTTTTTGAGATTCTCCCTCATTTCTTCCAACTGAAGTTGAAGTTCTTCTTCAGTAAGATGGGGATTCAACCCGTATCTCTGACTAATGTCATGATAGGAGTTTCTCTTGGCACCTCCCTGAAACAATAACATATCCATTACTAAATTTCGTGTGGAACATATTTACTTCCTTGTGTACTACATGTAATTTTCTAAATATGTACATAGATATATATAGGTCAATTAAAGTCTGCCAGCTCTATGTAAGGTAACCAATTGTTGAGGTAATTACATTACTGACTGGGGGAAATCATCATCTTTCTGTACAAGAAAATGTTTCCTTGTAACCAGATATTCACAAACTTTTGTTAAAATCATATTCACAATTTTAATGCAATACAATACCTACACCATGTTTCAATGAAAGCAAATGTTTGGTTTACCTCCATGAAACAGCAACCCTACAAAAACAAAAGCACAACAAAATCGATTGTCTCTATAATGCACCAAGCTTTTTTGTAAAATTGTACAATTTCTCAAACATCTTCAAATGGTCTGTTCAACATGTTCAAGGAGTTTATAAATATTGACAATAATAATTTTTTACTTGCCAAGAGCAACACAACAGGCGCCACTTGTAGAGCAGGAACTGCTTACCCTTCAGGAGGACACAAGTTTACAACTGGTTATTGGTAGGCATGGTAGGGTTTGTGTTGCTCAGTCTGCAGTAAGTTCTTTTTGCAGATGTTTGTCTTTTTGGTCATGGTATTGCCTGTTTTATTCAGCTTATGTCAAGGATAGGGATGTCAACCTCTTTTTTTCTATCTTTTATCATTCATAAGTGACATAGTATTATTCCATACAAAAGAAGTTTGTATAATGTAAATACACTAGAGAACTGAGTTCTATGAAGCATAATGAATATTGATCAGGTGCAGTTTCACATATGTAACACTCCAGTCTTAAAAATATCACCCTTTCATTAAAATTTAGACCTAATTATTATGTCGGATAAAACTTTAATCTGGAGTTGACCTTTGTCATGTTTGTTGAAGTCACCTTCAAGCTTTGACACCTGAGCCATTTTCAATTCAATTAACAATTTGACAATTCAATACCTACACATTCTACTTTGTAACTAATTTTTCAATTTGTCATTTATAACAAGAAGCAGATATTCAATATAATTGTGTACAAGTACTCAGTGACTTACAACACTCTGTGGACTTACATCAGTTAGTACAAGGACACGTTATAAAACCAGGAACAAAATCATATAAAACTGATTATATGTCATCTAAAGCTATAGAAAATCCACTTGACTGCTTTAAAAGTACCACCAGCAATCAACTTGATGTAGTAAAGTCCTATTAAGATACACCAAGGTTAAATAAAACACTTGAAAAGACTGGTACAAAAAAAACTTTACTCATGAGTTAAAGTAAAATACATGTTGTTTACATTTTTTTTAACATCACTATTTAATGAAAAATTGTTCAAATCTTAAAAGACTATAGATCTGATGAATTATAAAAAAAAGTCTTTCCCACTTATATTATTTGCTACACATCTTCCATGTTAAGCACACAGAATTGTCATGATTGTATACATGTAGAATATATAAAGGTTAATACATGTTACACACCTTTCTTTGTGAGTATTTAAGGTAATAGATGTGACTGACTGTTTACCATAAATTATCTCTATTTTAAAAGGATTACCAATTTGTTTATTGGTATAATTACCTTTGTTTATTGAGATAAACCAAGTGGTCTTGTGTCAATCAACAAGGTGATTAGCCAGGTGACAAAATCAATCAAATTTGACACATACTTTTAGAATTCAATTGTGTTATTATCTTTCATTGTTAAAGACTTATCTGCAAGGAAATATTTAATACACAAATAATCTAAGAGAGACAGTTAAAGTTTTCCTATATTTTGCCTCCCCCCTAAAAAAAAAAACCAACAAAAACCAAACACCAAATTTTTGAAGTTTCAGTTTCTTAGTATCAGTACATACTCATGATGTATTCAACAATAAAATAAAACCTTTTCTGATCTCAATCTACTTATTCTTACTTCATCTTGAGAAAACAGTTGATAATTTTCTTACAATTAAACTAAGCGGCCCAATTAAGACAACTTAGGCATTAGGTATGCAATATAAAAGCTCTCAGGGAAATAACCTTGACAATGTTGGATATTAACCACTTCTAAGGGGCCATACTGGCAATACTTGTGGATAACATTGGTTTGAACTCAAAAATTACCTCAGTGTTGACAGGTCAGTGATAAGTGAAGAACTACTTAAGACCAACAGGCCATCAAGGCCCCTGCAATAATTGTTTAAGAATATATATCTTACAGGGTGTTGGGTTTTCTCTAGATTGTATGACATTTTGTCATTATACTTTTAGAGCTTACTCATAGTTACTACATGTATATGGGTTTGGCTGGAGTTGTCACTATATGGGTTTGGCTAATTAATGAAGACTGTGCCTTTAGTTGTTACTATATGAGTTTGGCTAATTAATGAAGACCGTGCCTTTAGTTGTAACTATATGGGTTTGGCTAATTAATGAAGGCCATACCTGGAGTTGTCACTATATGGGTTTGGCTAATTAATGAAAACCGTGCCTTTAGTTGTTACTATATGGGTTTGGCTAATTAATGAAAACCGTGCCTTTAGTTGTTACTATATGGGTTTGGCTAATTAATGAAGGCCATACCTGTAGTTGTTTGCATCTTCGTACTTTGGTCTCTAATGAATAGTTGTCTCATTGACATTGGCAATCATACCACATCTACCATATTGAGAATGGAAACAGGGTTTTTCCACATTATTTTTTAGAGCTACATCCAAAAAGTTAAGATTGATAAACAGGTTGATTAAGCACAGACACAATGGCACAAGGCATTCAATTTTAGGTAGGCCAGTAAAAGATTTTTTAGACTTGCCCTATGCCTAACTTGCAGTCTTCATGATAAACTTTCGAATCTACAGACCTGAAGGTGAAATTTATGAAAATCTTAAGATTCTACTGGCCTGTAGAGATTATTTTTACAGGCCCAACAGCATTTTTACAAGCCTGGGCTGGTGGGCCTGTGGTTGAGTACGAAGATTGCTGCCTATGGACAATTTAATTTAAGATAAAAATTTTTAGTATTGCATTTACATGACCAGAGACCAATTAATGTAGGAGTTAACAACTATAGGTCACTGTACCGCCTGTAACAATGAGAAAACCCATACAGCATAGTAAGCTATAATGGCTTATTCATTTGTGTGTGAATGGTGTATGTTTCATTAGTAATGGAACATCATGTTTTAAATTTTATTAATATCTCTTAACATCATTTTATATATTGTATTCTTGAATACTAATTAAAAGCATCATAATCAATGCTCATCTTAATGCTTTTTGTCTTCCATTACTGGGTATCACCAAAGTTCCTTAAATTTTAATGTCACAAGCATGATAAGACTTAAAGAGACCATGTCAGATTCCACAGAGCAAATGTGATTGTTTCAAAATTTGGCCTATGATGATTCCAATGTGTAAGACTTCTGCTATGTAATAAAAGTCATTTCAGCAATACTTTTATATTTTAAAAGTACTTGAGATTTTGTTGTTTATATTCTGATTCTATTTTACACTTTTAAATGAAAAATGTTTTGTTTAGAAGTTGTAATTGCTCACGTTTCAAAAAGAATCATGGTCTTCAAGAGTGTTATAGTCCCATGTTGAGTCCAAGCTATTGAAAATTTTTCCTCATTATACAAGATGCTAAAAAATCCTAAAATTATATACTGAATTTCATATCAAATTTGACAACCTTGTCACACATCAGTATGCAGAAAATATTAACAGATTTTATCAAGATTGGCACATATTCTAATTTGTTGAAAATTGTTTTCTGAGGTAAGTTATAACTAAAAATATATCACCTTCAGTGTTTTTTTTAATTCACTTATACCGAGATTAATAGGTTCTATAATACATGTACATTGTATTTCTACAACACATATTTTTTACTTTTTTATTAACTTTGTTCTATCCTTATGCTTAACAAAGTGACAATAGGGAAGCAGCATAGTGATAGTCTTGTTTGTAAATGATCAAATTAAATCATGTTAATTGCAAGCTGATTGGTTAATTACTGTGACACACTTCTTTGTCAATCAACTAAGACACTAAATCATTTATCTAATCCAATTATATAATTAGAAATACTCATGATTTGCAAATGTACAAATGTATCAGTAGATGTATCCATAATCTATTGTAATAATAATAAGTATTATAAGTATTTTAAAGCATAATTCAAATTAAAACATGTTGTGTTAAATCATTGGTATTTTCACAAACAAATTTTTGGTTCGTATCTGTATGTTAAAAAATATTCATCAAATTCATTTTTGTTTCAAAATGAGATGTCTCTCTGGTCCTGTAGTCCATTACCAGATCAACTGCAGATGAAGCAGCAGACCTGTCAACAGACCACTAATTGTGAATGTGTTTATAATTATACTTGTATTATTCATAATAAAATATTGTTTACACCGACAGACCACTCTTATGGTTGTGTATTCTGCATTTTTTTTCCTTTTAACATCAAAGTCTAGTGCTTTTAAGTTACAATTTTTTTTTGTTATTTATTGTTATTTGAAGATAAGCTGTGTGTAAACAATAGACATGAAATACATTTATATGGTAATATTATTATATTTTGTTGATAATGTTGCATCAATTATAGAAAAATCTAATTCTGACCGGCCTTCTATCTTAAAATGTGGTGCTAATTCATAAAATGAAAATAATACAGAATTTTAAAAAATCATATAAAAATAAGAAAATGTACAGAAAACTGTTAACTTTTTGATGACAACTTTCCACCCGAGACCAAATGACATAGCAGAACGGAATAATAGGTTACGGTACAGCATACATCTTAAAAGTTATGGTCTGCTAACGTGACGCGACGTGTTGTTTTCTGCTCTTTGGTCAGGTAGTTGTCTCTTTGACACATTCCCATTCTCAATCTTATTGAATACAGTTGGAAACTACTGTAATGCTTAACAAAGTGACAAATTAATAGGTAAGCAATAAAGTGACAATATTTTTAACAAATTAAGTTAAAAGTTTTTAGGATATAGTGGTACCCCATGCCATGGATGACTGATAAATTTGTTTGTATATTAACATGGTCAGCTTTAAAAAAATTGATGTGCAACATGTCATAAGGATTGACATCTAATTCAATATAAATGATGTTTATCTACCACATGCAAATTGTGTGGCAAAACTACTAAACACAGGTTACAGAAAGGACTCATGAGCTATTTAAGGAATGCCCAAAAATTATGGTAGCACTATCTATAGCTGCCAGTGCCGTCTGATCATCATTTGTCAGTAACGCAATCACGGGACTACCGCGACCCTATACACTTGTCAATGAGTTTTAAAATAAAATGTACATGAATAAGAAAAACAAATGTTTTACTTCTTGTTTACCTGATAGTAGGAGGTGCCAGTTTCATGCGCCATGTTTGTCGACAAAGTTATGCGGAAATGGGGCAGATACAAGCTTCACAGATGAGTTCTGCTGTCCATTAGCAGTTGAGATCGATACTATGATTGTTATTTGTTTACGAGAAAGCAGTATTATGGTGTGGCGAAGGAGTTTGTCCTGATTATTTCCTTGTTTGCATGCCAAATTTCTTCACAACCGACATTCACCAATCTGACATGTACAGTCACGTGACGAGGTCATTAGTCAAATAAACCAATGAAAACAGGTTTTACATTTCACTCATCTCGCACTAAACTAAAAAAACAAACTTTGCCATGTGCAATATTTTGTAAACTATAGTGCACTTTAGTGTCTTATTCCACAAACTTTCTGTCATCATTCTTAATGAAGATTGCCACAACAAAATATAATTTATTGAGTGCACATTATTGTCATTTCTTTTAAATGACAAATCATGTAGGAATGATTCATTAATGAATCAACAGGTCCGAAATGTAACATGATATAACACCCACGAACATAACAGTGTGCTGTAAAACAATGTGTGGACGTACTGCATGGTAGGCTTAGTAAATAGTTGAATTACCAAGATTCAAGATTTTGTTATCCAATCATGGACCCTCAAGGGGCATACACACAAAATACATGAGTATCATAGCATAACAAATTATTAAAGAGGCAAACAATATATTGTATAATACTTTCATTGAATATGACATTGTTAATATTAGCATACATTTAAATTGGAAGGTTTTCTGAAATAAATTCACTTATTTTCAGTGTAATTTTTATATCTTCCATAAATGGTCGACCCGATGTTCTGAAACAGATTTTATTATAACATAAGAGGAGATGTGCCCTATGTGGGGTATACATGGTATATTAAGACAGCAACCTAACAACACAATTGTGTATAGAAACTAGGAGGCAACATACCATCTTCGACAGTGGGCAGTCTTCAATATGTCAAGCTCTAAATTTTCCCGATTCGAGCTATTAACATGTCTGAAAAATTGTAAATAAATTAAATCATCACCAACACATTCTTTAAATAGTAAAAAAAACATTTACATTTACAAAAATCTGGGAACAGTATATCTGTCAATATATATGTTCCTGCAAAAATGTACAAAGATTAGACTAGAGACAACCCAAAAGGTTCCTGACTTAAACAATGATATGTGACAGTTTTTTTTAGATCCAACCCCCCTTCTTCAGAATAAATTGGAAGGCTAGCTTTTGTATTGTTTTTATTGATGCCTTCATGCTAAATGCAAAAATACCCTCAGCTGGTGCCATGATCATTTGGAATATCCTCCCCTTTCTTAATCTTGATTAGTGAATGTCCTCCCCTTTCTAAATCTTGATTAGTGATATATCCTCTCCTTTCTTAAGCTTGATGTAAAGACACTAATTAACTAAACTGCCTATTCACGGCGTAAATATTTAAAAAAAAATGTTACTCCGCTTTTAATTTATTGTAATAAACAGATTTTTTTAATTCAATCAAAGACTAAGAAATGAAATTTTATTTGCAAATTAGTCTAGGTAAACCTTTGACTTTGTATGAAACATACATATATTATAAATAATAAACAGGCCATTGATATAAATGTTTTCATTGGATGATAGAATGGTGCTTTGCTCCTCCCAATCTTAAGGTAATAATCATTTCATGGTTGAGCTAGCAAGGAAGCTAACCAAAGATTCTACCTTTAGCTACACACTCGTTGGAATCGGCTGTAATAGATCAGTACTTTATCTTTTGTTAGTTGTGATTGTGCTTAATTTTAGTGCTAATCTGGAGAGAAGTCCTCTGATACTAATTTTAACACTTTTTATTTTATTGCAATTAAATAGAGTTTCTCCCCTTTGTCTGATTGGCTCTCTCCATCTGTTTAAAGCATTTGCAATATCAGAATTATGATGTTTAATTAGAATGCAAGGTTTAATTATTTGATTTATATGCCTACGCAGGCCCCTTTAATTTTATATCAGACAGAATTTGTATTTATATAACATTGGAGTTTTTGTTCTTTGATTTAATGCTACTCGACTTCTATACAATTTTCAAGGTTACAAATATGAATAAATACTTGTCTATTACAGCATCCAGTTTGTCAAATATGTTTCTAATTTATGATTGACAATGAATAACTTAACCATTTTTGTCTCGCCTTGACAGAGTCAAAAAGCGAGACATAGGTATGCTGTTTCCGGTGGCGGCGTCATCTATGTATTAGTTTGTGATTAGGTCTAGTTTATGGTGAACCACTAGTAGTAGGTCAATGATATTTGGTATGCAGTTGTATAAGCATTGGCACATCTCATTACCATGGAGATTATTTGGACCTGCCCCCTCAGTCATGGTCTTTTGACTTTGAACTTTTTGCTTAGTTTACATGTATTAGTTTGTGATTAGGTCAGTTTCTAGGGAACCACTAGTGGTAGGTCAATTATATTTGGTATGCAGTTGTATAAGCATTGGCATATCTCATTTCCATGGAAATTATTTGGCCCTGCCCCCTCAGTCATGGTCTATTGGCTTTGAAACTTTTGCTTAGTTTACATGTATTAGTTTGTGATTAGGTCAGTTTATGGGGAACCACTAGTGGTAGGTCAATGATATTTGGTATGCAGTTGTATAAGCATTGACATATCTCATTTCCATGGAAATTATTGGGCTCTGCTACCTCAGTCATGGTCTATTGACTTTGAAACGTTTGCTTAGTTTACATGTATTAGTTTGTGATTAGATCAGTTTAAGATGAACCACTAATGTTAAGTCAATGATATTTGGTATGCAAATTTATTGGCATTTGCAAGTCTCGTTTCAATGGAGATTATATAGCCCAACCCATCAGCATGGTTCTTAGACTTTGAAACTTTTACATAGTTTACAAGTTAATGTTTGCGTTTAGGTTTGTTTAAACATGTTAAAGGAAACGACTTATAATAAGTCAATGGTATTTGGAGATTGTAAAGCCATGTACCTTCAGTCATGGTTCATTGTCTTTGAATATTTGCATAACTTACATGTTAAAGTATTGCTATATTAATTTCAACATTTGCATTATCAAAATTACAAAAAGGCGAGACATATCTCTGTGATAACAGTTTATTAAAAGTGTGCAGCTGTATCATCATGGTCAAATATTTTTACTTAAATCAATTAACAGAACCAATTTATTGCTGAAAAAGTGCCTATCTTTCCAAATGAAATTCTTTTTGTGTCAATTTTAGTTGTATATGGTTTGAAGTTGCAAGTGGTTAGTTTAAATGTATATATTTATGATGAAATTTTACATTTCTAGCATGCTGAAACTTAGTAGCACAACATTATAGTACTGGAAAGATATGTAAAACAGCCAGCTTTAGAATCCCATGTTAATTCTCACATGAAATATGAAGAGAAGGAGATGTAGGGTATACAATGAGACAACATTCCATCCTTGCCAAAAAAAAAAGAAAATATTTAAATGTTAACATACATGTACCGTCTTCAACACTTCAAATATCACAGCTTAATTAGATGTGCCCTTAATGTAGAAAAGATGTCAATTTATTTAACAGAGACAAACAAATTAAGATATAACCAAAGACAACAGCTGATGTATTACATTGAAGAGGATCTGGATGTGGGGTCCTTCATTTCTGTATTTTTTAATCTTTTAGGCCATTTTTCTCTATTCTTTATACTTTTTGCCCATTATTCTCTATTCTTTATATTTTAGCACCTCATTATTCTCTATTCTTTATTTTTTTGGTCCATTTTTATATTCTTTATATTTTTTGCCCATTACTCTCTATTCTGTAAACTTCCATCCACACCCTCATTGGACAGACACACATACTTGTGGTAGGGTTCAACTGAACTAGTTTTAGCTTCCGAGAAGGTTCCCATATGTTTCATCTTACTTTAATTTGTAAGCATGAGGGATAATTAGAATTAGAAGGCATTTATTTGGCGGCAGTATCTAACCAACAGATATAGCTACCTTAATCAGTTTTTAGCTCACCTGGCCCAAAGGTCCAAGTGAGCTTTTCTCATCACTTGGTGTCTTCCGTCATCTGTTATCTTTTTCAAAAATCTCCTCTGAAACTACACTGTCAAATTTAACCAAACTTGGCGACAATCATCATTGGGGTATCTAGTAAAAAAGATGTGTCCGATGACCCCGCCTGCCAACCAACATGGCCAACATGGCTAAAAATAGAACATAGGGGGTTAAAACGCTATGAAAAGAGAAAATCTGATGGAAGCACAAATGTTTAGAGAGTTGAGATCTACCTATTGTCCATTTACATCGAAACTGTCAGACGACTTCTTATAGTTGTTGCCCTTAAACATTTTGTTAAATGACAAATTTCACCAATTATTTTCATTTTTGCCTATTATCTTGAATATTACACATGTTACAATGGGTTGAGAGAAACTTTGAATATAAAAATGATCATAAAGACAAGATCTATAAATAAGTCAGCATGACCGAATCATCCAACGACTCCTTTTTGGAGTTATTGCCCTTTAATGACGAACTTGACCAATTTTTTTGTGTTTTTGTCCAATATCTAAAAATTGAAATAGTTGGATAGAAACTGAAATAAGCAAAAATTATCCGCAAGAAAAGAACTACAGATAAGTTAACGTGACTGAAATTGTCCAAAGACTCTTTATTGGAGTTATTGCCCATTAATGATAAATTTTACCAATTTTTTTGTGTTTTTGCCCAATGTTTTAAAAGCTAAAAAAAATAGATAGAAACTTTAAATAGGTAAAAAAGATCAGCAAGACAAGATCTTCAAATAAGTCAAATTTTGTTGAAATTGTTATTAGACTCTTTGTAGGGGTGATTGCCCTTAATTTCTATTCCAGTTCACATTGTTGGAGAGTGTCCTTTGTTGAAGATGCACATAGACCTAGGTGAGCGATACAGGATCTTTAAAGCCTCTAGTTTGTAGTAGGGAGCACACATTGACCCTACTTTCCAAATTATTTGCTATTTTTTATTACCTTGTTCAAGTTAGTGGTCATTCATTTACTGTGTATTTTAGTTTTACGATTTTGGTAAGGATAGGTAAAGGGGGAAGTTTGTTCTGGTTTAACCCCACCACATTTTGTACCTGTAAAAGTCAGGCTATCTTAACCATGTTAACCATGTGTTTTTGGTTGTTATTTGTCTTTGTAAGTTTGTTTTTTCAGAGGAGTTGGGTGTTGGTTAGGTTGATGTGGTCTGTTGTACTCTATTTTTGTAATTCCTGTTTTCCTTTTTTATGTATAAACTAAAATGAAGAACACAAAGGTTAGGCAAGCGTTGCTCCTTTGATAAATTGGCTAATTCTTAGTACCGTCCAAAATATATCACAGAATGATTGTTTTTTGTACATTCACCTTTTGTTTATTCCTTTCCAATTCCTTATGGTCTGTCAGTCAGGCTATGGAAAATAGAAATAGCTCTTTTTCTTGGAATTTATTTTAAGTCCCCTTTTATTCCCACACATTTTGACGTCTATAGAAATATACTATGGTATTAAAGATTTTGTTCACATCTTATGTAACCTCTGTTATTATGTTATGTTATCATTTTAGTGCTCTGGAACCAGATGATATCTGTAAGTCCTGTTCCTTCAACTCCAAAACAACTGCTAAAGGGAGACAACAACCTGTATGGCGGGATCCGCCTGGTGGTCAGAAGTATTACCCATCATACAATGTGGCTCCTGGTTCGCATACGTAAGTCCTGTAACCTATTTAAAGTTTTGGAATATTAGTGGTCAAGAAGGGTAAATTTAAGTTTATCTTTGATCATAGTGTCTCTCCTGCAAGGAAAGTTGCAGAATGCAAAACAAAGTTATGCTAATTCAATGGCAACAGCAGCAATGTATGTGCATGCATGTCTGTATCCTTATGCTAATTCAATGGCAACAGCAGCAATTTATGTGCATGCATGTCTGTATCCTTATGCTAATTCAATGGCAACAGCAGCAATGTATGTGCATGCATGTCTGTATCCTTATGCTAATTCAATGGCAACAGCAGCAATGTATGTGCATGCATGTCTGTATCCTTATGCTAATTCAATGGCAACAGCAGCAATGTATGTGCATGCATGTCTGTATCCACAGCCAGATCTTAGTACCAAGTAGGCAAATACTCTTCTTAATTTGTAAATACCTTAACCTAATCAAGTCAAACTTTGTAATGAAAGAAAAAAGTCATGTGATCTGTGCCTGGCATGGTTCAATGACTATTGTTAAGGTTAATGTCCTAGTTGACGTTTTTAAGGTTCATGTCCCTAAACTGTAGTCAATACATGAATAGGAATATCTATTGTAAATATGCATTTTGTTGAGTAGGTCAGTCTCCAGGCAATACTATGTAACTATAACCTACATTTTACACTACATTGACTTTGGATAAGGTTTTGTGTCTGTGTTCCTATCTAATATGAAACTTAGTGTATATAAGATGATTGCCATTGTTTTTTTTGGGTTTCAATTACTGTAAATTCAGAAATTATTACGAGGTTTTTATTAATGCGAATAATGCACCTGGGTGAGTATCGCAATAATAAGAACTCACATTCTGATAAGTTTTACATATATCTGCATGCAGAGTTTTCTGAAATTGCAATAATTGAACTAACATTTTTTTCAATTCTTCAAAATCGCAATAACAAATGCATGTAATGAATTCTGAATTTACAGTATGCATAGTTTTGCAAGATGATGGATTCAGGCTCCTCTGAGCCTTTAGTTCATGCTGCTCAGCCTGCTATTCTGTTTAGATAAGTTGATTAAGATAGATAATATGACATATGTGAATACAATTTCCTTAAAGATTCGTATATGTATGTATTCCATAGCTGCACATGTAATTTTTCCTCTGTTATACAGACCGGTGTTGATTTCAAGTCAGCATTACCAGGGAGAACTAGATACTAATACAGAGAGAGTGATACAACCAATGAGATGGGGTCTAGTCCCATCATGGCATAAAGGAGATCCAACAAATGTAGGGTATGAAACCAATAACTGTAGAGCAGAAGGAATGTTGGAGAAAAAGACATATAAAGTTCCATTAGAAAAAGGTAGAAGATGTGTGGTACTAGCTGATGGGTAAGATAATGTTTGTAAGGTGGTGTTTTTATTATCCTATTTTGCAACCAATACATTTAGAGTATGATCAACCAATTATTAAGATCCTATGCTATAGAAAATGATATGTGTAGTTTATGCTGATGATACCCCAACTTAGTGGCAAATAGACCAAACAAAATCATTTTCCAAAACAGATCTAGAAGTCAACATATGGTCTTCAACAATAGACAGGTGTCTGTAAAAATGTCAAGCTCTAAATTGTCTATAGTCTAGAAAAATTCGATAAATTTAACAGAACCTGCTATTAATTCCTTATTCCTTATATACCTATATGGAGATATTTTTATTTCAGAATGATAGGTCATTCTTTTGAAGAATCAACCCGGATGATACCAAGTTTCAATGAAATTTACTTCAAGGCATAAAATAATGACCTGTGTTAGATCATTATTTTCCCTGATTAAAATGTAGACTATAATGTACTTAAACATTTGATTCGTTTGATAGTTATTGTGTGTTTTTTTTTCCAATTGGGGTTTTACTTTTTAATTTTCCATCTTTGATAGGTTTAAAGCAGAAACAATCCTTTCCTTCATTTATAAGACTGAAATCCTCGTTGATGCACATTTTAACTTTCGAAATAAATAATGTAAAGTTTTGTTAATTTATCGCTACAATAAACATGATAAAGGGACATGTAAATGTCAGATGAATTTGATAATGAAAATTTTTCATAAAACTTTTAAAACAAGCCAGATTTAACACATTTGTGTATGGGATATATATATATGTTTATACCTTTTACTCTATCAAATGACCAAATATTATTATTTTATTTAGAATAACAGCCACATACTTTTTAATTGGGGGAGTATAATATTTAATTGCGATTCTCGGTTTTAAAAAATTGTATTGCTAGACAAAAGAGAGAAAACAATTATTCGGAATAGTTCGGAAAAATTGTTGAAAAAATAATATGCTTTTCCGCAGTAAAAAAGGTCATGATAAAAAGAAAAAAACATAGCACCCCCATTCATAAACTAAGTTGATTTAATTGATTATTTACAAAGCGACTTATATTTTTCGTACACCGTAACAATTCATTTGTGTCTTGCATCATGCAGTTACAGTTATATTTTTATTGTAACTGGATAATGATTTCTAAAGTTTATATCTAGATTAATAAGTGAGTTTTATTTCACATTATAAATGAGCTGTAGGGTGTATTAAAACCTGAATGCATCGGAAAAGAATATCCCACTTTCGTGTGGTCTGTAAAATAGGATGCAAATCCTTTAAATCTTTGCAGATAATAATATTTTTTTATTGTTTATAAGTCAGATAATACATATTTTAAGGTTTTTCTTGTCGTATAACATACTTCGGGATGTCAGGATTGCCCAGACAAAGACCTCCCTCTTTCATTTGATCAATCCTGACACACCTCGGTGTGTTATATGACCAAAAAGACCTTGAAAAGAAGTTCACAATATATACTGAGCAACTTGTATTTCCTTTGCATCCATTTCCATCTAGTTTGTTGAGATGAAAAGATTCATGTCAAATCATATCAAAACCTATGGGAAATCACATTATCTAAGTGAATGAATATGATATTCTTAATCTTTAACCAAAAATTAACTTCTCTCAATGATTTGAATGAAATTCATGTTTAATTTAAGTTTCTTCGAATGGAAGAGAGAACAAAACAAAAAGCAACCATACTTTATTTATTCCCCACAAGACACTTGGGTTAAAAAAGAAAATCCTGACTTAAAAGTGAAGAAGGAGCCTATTGATCCTGATCAGAACTTTAATGTTAAAGACGAAGAACTTGAGGAAGGTTTGTTCATTATACATGTTACCAGCAAAAAGTGAAATAAGGAATTTCGCTATAATCATAGGCACCAAACTTTTGCCTAGGCAATTATTATATCCAGAAATGTAACCAACTATATTTATCTCATTAATTTAACCCTTAAATGATTGAATCTTAAAGATTATAACAAATTTACATCACACTATAATGTATATTATTCTAGTTTATTCACCTTATTTTGTGTATGGCTTACCAGTAGTTATAAGTGAACTTATTTTGCACCCAGGTACATGGAGGACTGATGTGTTGATGGAGTAAATTTGCTTTTGTAAATAGAACTATTAAGGAAAAAATTAAAAAGTTTTTATCATTTTTAGCTCACCTGGCCCAAAGGGCCAAGTGAGCTTTTCTCATCACTTGGTGTCTGTCGTCCGTCGTCCTGCGTCCGTAAACTTTTACAAAAATCTTCTCCTCTGAAACTACTTGGCCACAATCATCATTGGGGTATCTTGTTTGAAAAATGTGTCCGGTGACCCGGCCAACCAACCAAGATGACCGCCATGGCTAAAAATAGAACATAGGGGTAAAATGTAGATTTTGGCTTATATCTCTGAAACCAAAGCATTTAGAGCAAATCTGACATGGGGTAAAATTGTTTATCAGGTCAAGATCTATCTGCCCTGAAATTTTCAGATGAATCTGACAACCCGTTGTTGGGTTGCTGCCCCTGAATTGGTAATTTTAAGGAAATTTTGCCGTTTTTGGTTATTATCTTGAATATTATTATAGATAGAGATAAACTGTAAACAGCACTAATGTTCAGCAAAGTAAGATCTACAAATAAGTCAACTTGACCAAAATGGTCAGTTGACCCCTTAAGGAGTTATTGCCCTTTATAGTCAATTTGTAAATTTTTACAAAATATTTTCCACTGTAACTACTGGGCCAAGTTCATTATAGATAGAGATAATTGTAAGCAGCAAGAATGTTCAGTAAAGTATGATCTACAAACACATCACCATCACCAAAACACAATTTTGTCATGAATCCATCTGTGTCCTTTGTTTAATATGCACATAGACCAAGGTGAGCGACACAGGCTCTTTAGAGCCTCTAGTTTTGATTAGTTATATAATATGGCTATTGAAATCATTATGATTCTTGAACCTAAATAAAAGAGATTATGCAGTTTTTTTTTTCCTTTTTGATGTTTTCTGTGTTTAATTCTCATTTCTGGGTTGACCTTCATCAGGGAAGTAAAGAGTTATAATGTTTGGACAGTCAAAGATGGATGGAGCTAAATAACATGGACACATGCTTAAGTGACCTTAAAAAGGACTTTTCAAAAAAATATATGTAAGGTAAACCTTGCCGGTGGGAGATGCAACTTCAAATTTTTTTAAAATAACAAAGTTAACCAGCTGAGAAAATAAATATGTACAATAAATCATGAAAGGATACTTTCTCAAAGCTACTGGCTGTTAGAACTGCTCTTTAATAAGAAAATATTTGAAAAAAATTATCATAAAAAAAATTGAAACAAGTTACATTTATGAAATGAATTTTAACTCATAATTTGAAATGAGGTATTCTCACTAATGCTGTTTTACAGTTTATGTTTTAGGCATAACATTATTCATGATGTTACCTGAAATCCTAGGAATTAATGAGAATGGATAACAAAATTAGTTCAATGCCAAGGATATGAAATTATTTGAATTTTCAGATTATAACACTCTTAGAAAATGAAAGCTATCTCAAATTATACTATTGAAAATGTAATAGCATGTTTGAACCTTGGTATTTGGCCACATGGAATGTCATGTTGATAGAACATATTTGTACTCTGAAAAAAAGAAGAAATTATAGCCAAAATTTGTTAATATTATGCTAGAATAATATTTGTTTTATCTTAAATTGATCTGTTGATTAACAAAATCAGTGTAATTATGTAGACTTGGTGTTGTATTTGTAGAAACAGAAGTCACAGAGAGAAAGCTGTTGATGATGGCAGGTGTATTTGATGTATGGCATCCCCCAGATGTAAGATAGCTTAAATGACATATTACAACTCATATTTATATATGCTCTTATTATACATGAATGTTTAAGTAAATTTAAACATGTAATGTATAAGTATTCTCCACACATAAAAATGTTTGATACTGATTTTGGTGCACACAAGACCATTTTTTGTAGAATAACTACCATCAGGTACATGTATAAAAATTCACAGGCTGTTATTACATGTAGTGTGAAAAGGTATTTGTTCATTTGTTTAATTTATGATGTTTGGTAAGGTATGGTAATTGTTTTGTTAAACTACCTTTTCCAAAAGACAATACCTGTGGCATATATATTTAAACAGAAAAATAGCATACACTTACAATTTTGGTCATTTTGTCTAACATGTCTAAAGTAAAACACAAAATTAAATTAGATAGAAAATTTTCCATCTGTCCTTCATATAAACTGCTTACACAAGAAATGTTTTCTTTAACAACAGTGGTTAAGTTTTTAGGTAATATTTTCATTTGTGCATGAATAGGACAAATGCAGTGCATGACAAAAAGTATTTGTCACCAACAATGAGTTCTACTCAGAAAAAATTCTAATGTGGTCTTTAGATGGAGAGTTGTCTCATTGGCACTCATACCACATCTTCTTATTTCTATTTAGACACACTTTTTCTGATCCCCACAAGTGTTCATTGGACATTCAGTTCTGAAATTACAAATTTCATCTTGGATGGTGTTTGGCATTCATTCCTTAAATAGTAATAACACTTTTAGGGACTTAAGAATTGTACTGTTTCGATTGTTAGACTAGAGTTCATTTCAACTTTTGCTATAAACAATCTTCTATTTATAATTAATTTGTAAATTTTAAATTGGGATTTTTTTTAAGTATGTCTTTTTAGCAAATTGATCTTTTGACATTTCAGAACTCTGCTCCAGTATATTCTTACAGTGTAATAACAGTAGAATCTTCGCCTGTGATGTCATGGATACACCATAGAATGCCTGTAAGTTGTATTTGATTTAATGATCCCACAGGGAGTGAGGAAGTTCCCTCTAGATTTTAAGGTCACTTGATCAAAGATCAAGGTCACATAATATATTGAAAGACTGAAATTTGGCCAACATTTTGGTTTCTTGATGTACATGATGTAATCATTTGAACCATTTTCAAGTTAACTAAGCTGGGTTTGATAATGTCCCATGGGATGAAGATGACCTCTTTTTTCAAAGGTCAAGGTCACAGCAGCAATTGAATGACTGAAATAGGGCAAATATTTTGTTTCGGAATGAAGATTTTTTTATCATATGTTTCACTGATACCGAAGATAGTTTTATCAAAGAAGACATTTTTATTTTGAGGTCATTATATCAATGGTCAAGGTCACAGCAGCAGTTCTTGAAACAGAAATTTGGCCACAAGTTTTGTTTTTGATGATATCTTTTTAACCATATTTCAAACTTTCACCAAGCATATATTGAATTACCCCTTGAAAAGATAAAGACCCTTATTGATTTTTTTGTCAGTAGGTCCCACACCACACCACACCATACCAAAAAAAAAATCCACAGTCCTCAACACAGAAACTATTTCTGTTTCAAAAATAATCGCAACTCAGCTAATGCTTCTTTAATGTTTAAAAATGATGTTTTTGCTTTGTTGACTTCTGCTGAACCTTGCAAATTTCGACCAATCATTTGCCAGGAAACAGATATTTCTCTGGTGAGGAGAACAATTTTTTCACAATCGGTTGGGAAATGTGAAAATAGTAAAAAAATTAGAGAAATCCTAGTCTTTAGTATTAACTCATGTTAAAACTTATTATTCTCTGTTACACAAGTTTTCTGAACTTAATCTGACTGTGTGTCCATTTATTGACTTACTTAACTGAATATTGTTGTCCCCCGCGCAACGTGTTGACGTCTGTCCGGTCTTATTAGTGCTCTCACATTTACAATTCTAATCTTGCCAGATTTTTATAAAACTTATATCATAGGTTTATATCAGCAATGTCTCATAAGAGTTTATGCCCCTTGGAAACATTAATTATATTGGAAATTGAATCGTTAGCGCTCTCATATGCACAATTCTTGCCAGATTTTTATGAAACTTATATCATAGGTTTATAACAGCAATGTCTCGGACTGATGAATTATTTTTAAAAGAGTTATGCCCCTTAGAAATATTAATTATATGGAAATTTGCATTGTAAGCACTCTCACAATTACAATTTTTGCCAGATTTTTATCAAATTCATATCAAAGGTTAATATCAGCAATATCACAGAATTTTCCAAAATAATTTCGGATCTAATATTTTTAATTATTGTAGGCAATATTGACAAATGATGCTGAAATTGAAGAATGGTTAAACTTTGCAGAAGTTCCATTAAGAGGGGTAAGTTTGCAAAATATTCCTTTATTTTCACATTTCTTCATTTTTTCATAATAAAATGATAAAAAATCTCTATTTGATTTTTTTTTTAATTGAGGAGAAAAAAATTAACCTAAGCAGTAGCTTGTAAACTTGAATAGCCTGAACTTGTATTTAAGTACTGTCCCCGTTTTTTTTATTTGCCTAATTCTTTTAGTTATATGCTATAGGCAGTACAGAATATTAGACCTACAGAAAGCTTACAGATGCACCCAGTAACAACAGCCATGGGTAACTCACGTTACAAATCACCAGACTGTGTTCAACCAGTAGATCTGAAGTAAGTTGCTTGGTCATCTTTAATGTTAGGATACATTTTAAGAAGAGTTATTTTCTCAAGTTTCATCCATTCTAAGTTGAAGATGTATATTCAAATAAGAATAAATAAAATAACTTACTCAAATACAATGCAGTGAATGAGACTCCACTGTCAGTAATGTCATTTTTGTATAACATGCGACAAAAGTCGCAAAATGCTGAACATAGGGTTGCTAAGCAGCGATAGCGTCAAATTTTTGTTTTTTGTATAAAGCTTTATATTTCAGAAAGTATAAGACATAGATACTTCATATCTTGTATATAGATGCCTTATGATTTGATGATTCCATCTTGCATATATCCATTGTCCTAGAACTCATATTAATGTTTCAGCAACTGCTTGAAAAAACAGTTTTTTTTATCATATAATTTTTGCACTTATTATGAGGTAAATAGGACAACTATATTTGGTATATAGAATCATTGAAAGGTAAACATATAAAATAAGGAGATGTGGTTTGATTGCCAATGAGACAACTAGCCACCAGAGACCAAATGTCAGCAACTATAGGTCACGGTATGGCCTTCAACAATGAGCAAAACCAATACCAGATAGCGAACTTTAAAAGGCCCCAACATAATAAAAAGTAACGCAATTCAAATGAGAGAATCAATGGCCTAATTTATGAACAAAACAAATTGAAAAAAAAAATGATGTACAGCAACAATCGTAAACTGCTGAATTACAGGCTTCTAACTTGGGACAGGTACAAACAGAATGTACATGTACAATGTACAATACATATACATTCTACAGGGTTCACCCATCAATTATTTTGGGGGGTATCTAGCTTTAAGGTCTGGACATTTTCTGGAAATTTTCACATGATTGAGGTTACTTTTTCTTTTTCTTTTATTATCATTCAAGACTTATATATATTTATTTATATTTTCGATGTTTTATTTAAGGAAACCAAAAGCACCAGTAAACAGCATTATGAAGAACTGGTTGTAACAGCCTAAAAAGGAACAAAATGACCATGGACTAAGTTCACCTACAAAATCCCCATTAAAATCTAACTCACCATCAATGAGACCATCTCCAACAAAACAATCAAAAAGTAGTAATCTAATGATGAACTGGTTACATAAGGGGAAAAGGGAACCAGATGAAGATAACAACTCTCCAGCAAAGAAGATAAAAACTTGTGATGCTTGAATTTATTTGGAATTTACACTCTGGTGCCATTTGTGTTCAAAAATAAAAATGAATATCTTATGTTGAAATGTAGTTTTGTAACAAATCGTATAATTATCATAATTTGGCTGTGAAATGCTTGAAATTAATCATACATACCATTACACAAATACCCTTGTGTTCAAACATCATTTTATATATATATATATATATATGTGAAGACTTTACTTTTTATTTGTTAAATAATAGTTTATATGGAGTCATTGTATCGTTAATTGTCATCTAGACACATTTTTGTTTTTGCTAGCCAATATTTAAAATTGTAACAGTGGTATGATATTGATTGATGTAAAGTTTAGTAAAATACCATTTAACATATTTAAAATGTGACAAGATATATAAAAAAGATGTGTTTGCAATAAAATGATCTGATATTCCTCTTTTGCAGAATTAATGTATTTGTATCGCTTACTAACAGTACTTATCAGTTTGACGACTATTTCGAGGCCCTGCCCCCCTAATTCATGGTCCAGTGACTTTGAATTAATAAGCAATTTTCAATGTTAAGTTTTCTGCTTAAGTTAGTTTGATAGGATTTACTGGTGATAGATATTTGATATTTTGTATGATGTCGCATAATTATCAATACATATCAGTTTGACGACTATTTTGAGGCCCTGTCCCCTAGGACATGGTCTAGTGACTTTGAATTAATAAGCATTTTTCAATGTTAAGTTTTCTGCTCGAGTTAGTTTGATAGGATCTTCTTGTGATAGATCAATGATATTTTGTATGAAGTTGCATTACTATCAGTACATATCTGTATGACGACTATTTTGAGGCCCTGCCCACCGTAGGTCATGGTCCTGTGATTTTGAATTAATTAGTAATTTTCAATGTTAAGTTTTCTGCTTAAGTCAGTTTGATAAGAACCATGTAACAGATCAATGATATTTTGTATAAAGTTGCATTACTATCAGTACATCTCAGTTTGTTGACCATTTAGGCCCTGCACACTAGATCATGGTCCAGCGACTTTGAATTAATATGCAATGTTGCTGTCCTTCAGATTGTCTTTTTCTGAATTTTATGCAGACAGGCGAGGCATATCTCTGTGTCAACAGTTTATTGTTTATTGATTAGCATTTAGTTTTTGTGTTGAAGTGGTACTTTTGTTTACTCTCAATTTAACGAGAACTACATTTATTCTGCAGAATTGTTGTAAGGTATACATATTTCTTATTCATTTATTGAAGTTAAGCTTTGATCAGCCTTTTTAGTTACTATTACTTAATGTACAAGTTAGTAAGCTAGCACTTTATAATAATAAAGAAGTTTAACCTGGAAATGTTGTAGTTTTCAATCAAACACTAACCATTCAATTCTTCATTATCTTTTATGAGACACATGAAAATCAGATTTAGGTCAAAGATTTACCATGCTGAATTTCATAGCACAGTTCATTAAAATTACATGTATGTAAAAAATAGTATTCCTAATAACTATGCCGTTGAAGTATTGCACAACCATCATTATTTTTTCTGTCTTTTGATGTTTTTATACGACCGCAAAAAAATTTTTGTGGTCGTATATTGGTATGACGTTGGCGTCGTCGTCGTCGTCGTCGTCGTCGTCGTCCTGCGTCGTCGTCCGAATACACATTGGTTTTCGCACTCTAACTTTAGTTTAAGTGAATGGATCTTTTTGAAATTTTACCATAAGGTTAAATACCACAAAAGGAAGGTTGGGATTGATTTTGGGGGTTATGGTACCAACAGTTAAGGAATTAGGGGCCAAAAAGGGGCCAAAAATAAGCATTTTCTAGTTTCCAGACAATAACTGTGGAACAGTGTATGGATCTCTCTGAAATTATACTACAAGTTTCCATACCACAAAGGGATGGTTAGGATTTGCTTTGGGGGGTTATGGCTCAAACCGTTTAGGAATTAGGGGCAAAAAAGGGGGAAAAACAAGGTTGTCCTGGTTAATGGACAAATACTTTAGTACAAAACATAATTTAAAGCAGTGTAAGGGAGATAAATCAAATACATCATTGAAATTATCTCCCTTACACTGCTTTTAAATTATGTATAAAGTAATGGTTAATGAACAATAAAGATAATTTAAAACAATGTAAGGGAGGTAATCCAAATACAACATTTTGGTTACTTCCCTTACACTGCTTTTAAATTATGTTTAAAGAAATGCATATTTATAAAGGAAGACCAGTAAAAATATCTGCAAATGTTGCATCATTTTATTTTACAAAAAAATCCATATGAAAGATTTGACACTATATTTTTAATTCTATTATAAAATAGATTAAGTTAGCACTATGGTAAAATTAAATGGATAATTATGGTTGCCAACTCCATTGGAAATTTGAATTGAGATTATGACCATATCTTGAGGGAAAGAATTTTTTGGGGGAAAAAGGGGGGGGGGGGGATAAAAAGAAATTGTGGGGGGGGGGGGGGGGTCAATTTTTTCTCATTTCAGATTTCAGAAATTAAAAAGAATTATTCTTCAAATATTATTTTTTTTTCAAATTTCAAATATTGAAAAATTTCAAGAAGTAATCTTTAATTGCACAGTATGGCGCATTAGATTTGTAAAATCTTTGATCACATTTATTTATTTGTTATGCCGAATCTAACAGTGTATTTAGATTTTTAATTTTGGGTCCAGTTTTCAAAATAGTCTACATTAAGGTCCAAAGGGTCCAAAATTAAACTTTGTTTGATTTTAGCAAAAATTGAATATATGAGGTTCTTTGATATGCTGAATCTAAACATGTATTTAGATTTTTGATTTTTGGCCCAGTTTTCAAGTTGGTCCAAATTGGGGTCCAAAATTAAACTTTGTTTGATTTCAACAAAAATTGAATATATGGGGTTCTTTGATATGCTGAATCTAACCATGTATTTAGATTTTTTATTTGTGGACCCCGTTATCAAATTGGTTCATATTGAGGTCAAAAGGGTCCAAAATTAAACTTTGTTTGATTTCATCTAAAATTGAATTATTGGGGCTCTTTGATATTCCAAATCTAACCGTGTATTTAGATTTTTAATTTTGGGTCCTGTTTTTTAAATTGGTCTACATTAAGGTCCAAAGGGTCCAAAATTAAACTTAGTTTGATTTTAACAAAAAATGAATTCTTGGGGTTCTTTGATATGCTGAATCTAAACATGTGTTTAGATTTTTGATTATGGGCCCAGTTTTCAAGTTGGTCCAAGATAGGGTCTAGTATTTAAACTTTGTTTGATTTCAACAAAAATTGAATATATGGGGTTCTTTGATATGCTGAATCTAACCATGTATTTAGATTTTTTATTTGTAGGCCCCGCTATCAAATTGGTTCATATTGAGGTCAAAAGGGTCCAAAATTAAACTTTGTTTGATTTCATCAAAAATTGAATTATTGGGGTTCTTTGATATGCCAAATCTAACGGTGTTTTTAGATGTTTAATTTGGGTCCCGTTTTTTAAATTGGTCTTCATTGAGGTCCAAAGGGTCCAAAATTAAACTTAGTTTGATTTTAACAAAAATTGAATTCTTGGGGTTCTTTGATATGCTGAATCTAAACATTTGTTTAGATTTTTGATTATGGGCCCAGTTTTCAAGTTGGTCCAAGTTGGGGTCCAAAATTAAACTTTTTTTGATTTCAACAAAAATTGAATATATGGGGTTTTTTGATATGCTGAATCTAACCATGAATTTAGATTTTTTATTTGTGGGCCCCGCTATCAAATTGGTTCATATTGAGGTCAAAAGGGTCCAAAATTAAACTTTGTTTGATTTCATCAAAAATTGAATTATTGGGGTTCTTTGATATTCCAAATCTAACCGTGTATTTAGATTTTTAATTTTAAGTCCCGTTTTTTAAATTGGTCTACATTAAGGTCCAAAGGGTCCAAAATTAAACTTAGTTTGATTTTAGCAAAAATTGATTTCTTGGGGTTCTTTGATATGCTGAATCTAAACATATGTTTAGATTTTTTATTATGGGCCCAGTTTTCAAGTTTGTTCAAGTTGGGGTCCAAAATTAAACTTTGTTTGATTTTAACAAAAATTGAATATATGGGGTTCTTTGATATGCTGAATCTAACCATGTTTTTTGATTTTGGACATTGGACCATAATAGGTAAATTAAAAAAATTCAAGTTCTTAGACCACATTCTTTCTGTGTCAGAAACCTATGCTGTGTCAAATATTTAATAACAATCCAAATTCAGAGCTGTATCAAGCTTGAATGTTGTGTCCATACTTGCCCCAACTGTTCAGGGTTCGACCTCTGCGGTCGTATCAAGCTGCGCCCCAGCAAAGCATTTTATTGTCATTTCTTTTGTCATTAATATGCAGGTGACATTATTTTTGAGGAAATCCTTTAGATAAGATACATATTGATCAATGATGAAATATATTGCAATTTAAAAGAAACTGCCATATATTTTGAGACCAGAAATATTTTATCCTGAACAATATTATACAATTTAATTTCAAATTAAGTAGTACTATAATTCACTGATGTTGGACTGATAAAAAACTTTTCATCCAATCATATACATAAAAAATATTGTTGACCTAAGTCACCTAACACGCATAGTTACAGAGGAACAGACCTTGTCCTGCAAACTTAACTTGTCCACTGGAGTATGAAATTGAATTTTAGACCAAATGACATATTTCAGCTGCATCTTCTCCTTACACATATTGTTGTCCTTGCATGCATAGTTATTGATGAACATACTTCATCATGAAAAAATTAGTCAGACCACTGAGCATGAAAATGAGGCCAAAGTCAGGTGAAAAAGAGTGACTAACAAGATTTTATAATGAATGTCCTCCATACCAATTTTATTCTTTTTATGTGAAAGTGAGGATATTGATATTATTTGAAAAATATAGAACTGTTCAATCTATTCTGGAGTGGTGTAATGGACATTCTCATTCTGTGAAGATGAAAATATATTTTTGTATTAACCAGTATTCCAATTCTTTCACTTATGCAGCATTATGTTTCTTTGTCTCGTCTGCAATGAAAGCCGCAGAATGCGACACATAAAGATTACAATCCAGCGACGGCGTACACTATTTGCTTACAGCTTTATATTTCAGAAGGTAGAAGACCTGGATGCTTCATACCTTGTATGCTTATTTTACCAAGTTTCTGTCTGGCATATGTCCATGGTCCTTGACCTCATTTTCATGGTTAAGCAACTGCTTGAAAAAAATTATGTTTTTTATTGTCATGTGAATTTCTCAGTTATTATCAGTAATAGGGTACGGTAACTTTATTTGGTATATGGCTTCCTTGCAAGGTCTACATGTCCATCAGACAGGGTTCACCTTACCTCGACAGTTAAGTTTATGTAGTCAAGTCTGTATGTCAGATACTATAAGCATTAGGTCAACTATATTTGGTGTATGAAATGATTGTAACTAGTACATGTCTGACTGGCAGGTTTCATTGAGACCTTGACCTCAATTTCATGGTTCAATGGTCAATGTTAAGTTTTCATGGTTTTGTCTGTTTATCAAATACTATAAGCAATAGGTCAACTATATTTGGTTATGGAGTGATTGTAAGGTGTACATGTCTGTCTGGGTCATCTGACCTTGACCTCATTTTCATGGCTTATTGATAAATATTCAATTTTTTTTATTAGGATTTTTTCTCTGATACCATAAGCAATAGGTTAGCTATATTTAATGTATGGTATGATTGTAAAGTGTGGTGTACATGTCTGTCTGGTAGGGTTCATCTGACCTTGACCTCATTTACATTGACCATTGATAATGTTAATTTTATTTGAAACTTATATATAAACAATCATATTACACACTTTCAACATAAATCTATTATGATAAGTAAAGCAGTGTGTGCACTCTTTGTTTTATCTTTTAAAAAACAATTTTGACATATTGTTGTTTAAGGTTCTCCTAAAGTACATACATTAATTTAATTTAATATACATGTTGTACTATTGATTGTTTTTGCTGGTATCATGACCAAAGGAGCCAGTATAAGTAAAATGTCAACCTATGGTCTTCAACAATAGACAAGTGTTTATACCACATCAAATCTAAGTTTTCTTTTTAAAAATGTGAGCTATTGCAACATCATGGCATTCGATGTTTGTTTTTCCATTGAAATACTTAGAAAAATGACCTCATGAAATACTGAGACAAACATGTTGAACTATTAGTTCTTTCTCACTAAAGATACCCCAGTTTAAGTATTTGGTTAACAGTAAGTTGATGGGCAATAGATGTGAAACAGCATCACATTAAAGAGCATGCTCATATGAAGCCTGATACCAAATTTCAGGGTGCTCTGATCCACAGTTCCTAGAAATGTGTGACGAAAACTACATATATGGTCATTATTTAAAAGAATTCTGGGAACAGGAAAGTTGAGTGATGAATCTGAAAATCTTGATACCAATTTTCAGAAAGTTCTGATTCGTAGTTCCTGAGAAAAATGTATTAAAACTTCATACATGGCAGTCATTCCCAAGGTCGCCGTACATTGGGCAAAAGCCAGTAATAATTGGTTTGGTCCAGTTAAATGATATGCATTACTGGACCAAATGACCAGTAAAATTTTTAATTTTGTCCTAATCATATGTGTAAATGTCCAGTCAAAAAGAGTCTGGTCCCGTTAAGAAGATTAGTTTATTGGACCAAATGTCCAGTTGATTTCTCAAAGCCTTGGGAACCACTGACATTGCCACTATGTGTAAGAGTATACAAGTATTTAGTTATCAGGCAACTGATTTGCTATTAAAGTTAAATCTGCATAACACAGTATATTATGCTCACATGAAGTCTGAAACCAAATTCCCTGAGGCTGTAATTTGTAGTTCCAGAGAAAAATGTGATGAAGATTTCATGGCCCAGATGGACTGACATACAGACAGACGGATAGAGGTAAAATAGTAAACCCCCCTTGTTCTGAGCAGTGATATAATGAAGATGGATAGATAACAGGTGTTGTGTGAGTTTATTTTAGATGTACAACTGACTAGTGTTCATGACAACTGATGTACCAAGTCTTGACCGTGTTTTGTTTGTTTGTTTGACACTAAAAGTCATGAACTTATTAAACAGTAGAAAGATAAAAATGTCAGCTAATTTTTTTTATTTATTTATTAAATGGCATGTCAGCTGTCTAATGGCTTCTGTTTTTTTATGAGACTGTTTAGTTTATCAAAGCTGTTATCCTGTAGAGATTGTCTGATCTGATGGAAGAATTCAAAATAATGATGAAAGTTGTGGCTGAAACAGAGAGAATACAATACTATATAAAATCCATAAACGAAAAAATCTCTAATAAACAGTACATTTCAAGATAAATTGATAATTATAAAAATTGTTCTTGTATGGTTGTATTTTGAAAAGAAGTGCAAGAATAATAAATCATTCTAACTTTATAATATACATTTTCTGGAACAGCCCTAGATGTGTTAAGGTGATAGCAGATAAAAAAAAATCATGATTATATTTCACATTTGATACTTTGGACATCATTGATGTTAACGTATAATTGTTCTGCTAAACAGAAGTTCTCCTGGAAACTTTGTTGCAAACAATGCCATAATATCTTTTCCTATTTGAACAAATATTCTATACCCTTTATTTTGTTTGGAACTTATATAATGAAGGAACTTTTATTTCATGACATTATGACCTGCTCATTTATGTGATTTGTAAAAATAAATGCTTTATTTATTTATTTTTTTTGTATTATAACCATAATTCCACTTAAATATTTCCATCAACTCATTATATTAGATGACTTACATCATAAGTAAAACAGATGATAATAGTTCTGATGTGTTCAGTAAATGGTTGATATAAGATCTTGTAAAGTTCTGACAGGCATAACATGTACAACCTTCTAACAACGGTCCAAAGTCATCTACGTACCTGAAATAAAGGTACAATACTCAAAAGATAAGGTACTTTTTAGGACATTATTGGCTGTTTAATTTCCAGGAAATTCAAAATCAATGATAATAATATCTTTAATCAAAACATTTTAAAATGATGGATCATAACCCCACAGCACTGTAAAATCATTAACGTGATGTGATCAGGGAAATTTATTAAATTTTAACAAATATAAGGCTTATTTGACAAACCTTTTGCCTAAATTAAAACAAATCAAAAGTGTCAACTGAAATAATTTTTTTTCTTTTAATTTAACAATTTTACTGAATTTGATGTCAGTCAACATGGTCAAGGTTCTATTACCTATGAAAAAGACATATTTCAAGCTTAATTAACAATGTACATTTCTACAAATTCAAGACAGTTTGAAATACGTTTATTTTTAGGGTCAAATTGGGCTTAAACCACACCTCCTGCACATTTGTCAACACATTATAAGTTTTTCTACCTCCTGCACATTTGTCAACACATTATAAGTTTTTCTATTTTGAAGTTACCTCCCTTCATATACAGTGACTGTAACAAGTCTTTTTATTTCAAGAGTTATTTCCCTTTTCTGATACATTCTAAATTTCTTTTTAGTATTTACATATCTCATACATTATTTCTTTTTATTTCAAGAGTTATTTCCCTTTTCTGATACATTCTAAATTTCTTTTTAGTATTTACATATCTCATACATTATTTCTATCATATTTTAACACTGATCCAGAAGTATAGGGAAAAATTCATGTCTATTTTCCTACCATGCTCAGTTCTGAGCCATAAATCTTTAATTCACAATACACAGAGATTTTATTTTAATCGTAACTTTACCTTTGTTAACAAGATAATAATTAACTTTAGACATTTTAAATGGAAATAAGTGTAAGAGTATCACAAAAAAATATTTTTAAATTCCAAGGAAATAGATAAATACAATTAAATACCAATACACTTTATAAAAAAAGATTACAAAAAAGATTTAAGTATCGGGTTGACTAAATACTCAGTTAGCTTACTTTTTGTCAGCAAGATTAATTTGAAATCCAAGAAGATGGTCTCCATTGCCTTTTTGTTCTTCATGACTCGCACATATATTGAATCTAAACACTAAACCACATCCTCTCTCAGTAACAATGTAAGGATATCTGATCTTCAGTTAAGGCATATTTGAAGAAGACAATGAATGTATAATTCAGGGAAGTATGTTACATGAACCGCCCATTGGTAACCTCATAAGTTATAGTAGCTCATTTATGATGTTTCAGATTTATTAATAACATCTTAATCCTAAATTTGATCTTCCTTATTGTACATCTTCAACTAAGAGTGAAAATGAAAAAAAGATGTGGGGTACAGTATATGAGATACAAAAATCCAATACATGTAACACAAAAAAAGAGAGCTAGAAAATAACAAACGGTCTTCATATAAGACAGTAAACTTTAGAAGATATTGATAAAACATAATTGTACATTTTGCCGAAAATTACTAAGTTTCCAAGTCTAAAAAATAATGCGAAAAAATTCCTCAAACAAATCCATTAATTCAAGTGCACAACTTCAATATATGAGCAATCTTTCTTTAAAGTTTCATGGTACCTTTGAAAAACTCTTGGATAACATTAACTGAATACTTCTGAACAAAATTAATTTTAAGAATCTCTGTCTCATTCTTATATATCTTTAGTTCACAAATTGTTTTTGTGTTGAATATCTGATTAAAACCATTTATAATGACTTTTGTGTATTTGCCATAACTGCATGAGTTAAAGTACAGAAGGTGCCAAAATCGGAAAATTTTAGTATTTTGTATAGGGGCAAAATCAGAATCAGGAAATCTGGAAAATCCCATGCATGTATGTAACTGTATGATAAACATTGTTAAATCATGGCAATTCCAATGTTTGCCAGCCCTATCTACAAATATCGACATGAGAACGGAAAATGTATTTGTAAAATTTTGACTTCTACACAAAATATACAGATATAGCAATAATACAAAAATAATTTTTTATACAACACTTTAGATTATGATGAAACAGCAGGAATTAATAATGAATTTCAATTAAGGAAATACACATTGATGTATTTTTATAAAGGATATGAACTATCAAACATATCAATCCCCAATGCTATACCTTCCATTACTTTATCTGGTCTCCAAACATTCTGCATTAGTCTTGGTTTGTTCTCTGGTAAACATTCCTGTAATAATAATATAAAATAAGGAGATGTGGTATGATTGCCTATGAGACAACCATCCACCAGAGTTCAAAATGAAGGGGATTTAAGCAATCTTAATTCATTTTCAATTTTCTGATTGTTTCAGTTGTAGTATATTTGAAATAATCAAACATTGAAATTTATTATAAAAGGACCAATGTCATTTAATGGCTTTAATTTTTGCGCTTTTGTTAATTATTTTTTAAATGGAATGAATACTGCTGATTATTAAAAAATAGAATAATAACAAATGGTCCAGTTTTTAATGCAGATTATGCCAACAAGTTGTCATCCAATGAAATACAGATTCTTTGGAGTATTCTGTTTGTATGATGTTATATTCAGTTAAGGTTGTCACTGTAGAAATTTAGTTAATTAACATTGACATAGATTTTTCAGAATCAGATAAGACTTTGAATGATCACCAACATCTATATCAGATAACTTACATCAAATATTCTCTGATTTCAACTACTTTTTTTATGTTAACCTTACCATTGTCTTCTGACAAATTTCTGTTACTTGGTTTAAGTCAAAGATTTCTGTTTTTGGTCCATTGTTATGAAATCCTGCTAATACATAGCCTGTTAAAGAAATACATAATGCAGCAACTGACATATAACTAATGGTGAATATTCAAAATAAAGTTTTTAAGTTATAACAGTCTTCATTTCTTATTCAAGTGACTTACGTACATCTTAAATTTCATGGCAAATATCTTTTAAATTTTTTTGATCACCATTTATTCACATGCAGCTACTTTATACTTTGTCTTTATTCTGTATTTTAATACAGGTTTCAATTGTCACAATGTACTGTATTGTTTTCTCTGATTCTTTCAAGTTTTCCATGCACCATGAGAAAACTCATGCATTCTGATGGGCATTTCTAGTCTGACTTCTAGATTAGACACAACCAATTAATATATGGCTCTGTGTTTTGCATTTTTGTATACTCATTGAAAAAATACACTTCTTCAATATGTTTTCATTTCAGTTATCCCTTGTTCCATGTTTTACATTCCCCTCATTTTTTCTACCACTGATCAGTTTAATTTTGAATTTAAGCTAGACAACTTAATAATCATATCAGAATCGCTCAGATGAAACAACAGGAGACACTTCCTTAGAGTTACCAGAGTTCACTTAATAATTTTTGCTTCAGCACATAACATTATTTAAAACAGCTCAAGATTCATAAAATTGAAGCAGAGAGGAAACTGCTAGAAATTTGAATGACACTTCTATTATTTCATTTATAAACTGTATTAAATAAACTGTACTAAATAAACAAACAAAAAACTTTGTCATTTAGCTTGGATAATCACCTTTAGCACTGAAGATTAATTTCCAGCCAGTCAGATTTCTGGTTTAGAAAAGGGTCTAAATTGTAGAGTAAGTTTTTTTATATTCTAAAACCAATTCAAATGTGTTATTTTTTTTGGGGTATACAAATGTTTAATGTTTACTACAGTTTTTTTTGTTGTTTTCTAATGTTTTTATCACTTTTAGAGTAGTAGTTGCAAGTAAAATAAGAGAACCTGACCATCGACATTTCTAGTAACAGTTTCATGTGCAGACTTCTGTCTTTCTTGTACACTATATCCTCCTTCTATAACTCCAAACAGTGCTGTATTCTGTAACTTCTATATCAAAAGTTAACAATTTGTATTAATTAAAGCTTAATACTTATTATACTATATATCTTATGTGTACATATACATACAGTAGTTTGCCCTAGATTCTTTTTACACATTTTGAAAGGAATTTATAGGATGTGCCACATAGCATTTGAAAAGGTTTTTGAAATAAAACAACCGTAAATTCAAAAATTCAAAATATAATTTATATTTCAATGCAGCCAAAAATATGATGGCTTAGTTCATTGTTTCTAAAATAATTATTTTTAACATAATGAACACTCTCGATTAATTCCCCTCACCTACTGCAAAGAGAAAGATTTGGACCCCCCCCCCCTTTTGTGGTAAGAAAAGAAGAAAAAAAGGGGAGTAATAATTGATTACTTTTATGCATTCAACAAAAACAACTCACAATTTGCACCTTTTTTGTTTCACTACTTATCTAATATTTCAGTTGATGGTCATCAGATATGACCAAATATATACTAGCTATCACAGATAATTACACCTTATATAAGAATGCTGGATTTTGATTGGTTGGTAGCCAGTGTATTTTTCGCATATTCTAACCTTTTTTACTCATTTCAAACGAATTTGCATGTTTTTCACCACTGCCGGTGAATTTGCCTCAAATTCCCCTCTATGCCGTGGTATTTGCCATTTTGGATATTCCTTTTTTACCCTCGCAGGCTTCTTCCCGCCAAAATCATTAGGATATGATGTTACATCAAGACAGCGCTAACGCGTATAAGTACATGTATAATTCCCTCGGTATTATGATAGTCTCTACTTATCCTCAAAATTATGCATAAACATGTTTATGGGTTACAGCTGACTAGTAAGAAAATATTTCCTTTCACCAGTACAGAGAGTTTCAATCAAAATCTATTCGGTGTAATTATACAGATATATCATGTTATAGAGGGGTATTTGCGAAAAATACCAGTCTTGGGACCAAATTTCCCTTGCCTAGCGGCTCAGGAAATTTTTACAGTCCCTCGACTGGTATTTTTCGCAAATACCCCTCCATAACATGATATATCTGTTCAATATTCTATTAAAAGAACAGTAGCAAACATATATTCCTAGGACCATGGTTGACACACAGTACAAAGATTCTGACAAACAATGATAAATATAATGTCATATTCTTTATTCTCTAGTTTTTCCTAAGTGTTGGCCCCTGCACCTAATAAAAAAAAGTGTGCTTTGTGTATGTATTTTTGTTAAAAAAACACTAGATTTTTGGCAGAGATTAAGGGGTATATACAATAAAATATATAAATCTGACATCTTACTGATGAAGGATATTAGTTATCCGAAATATTTAACATTTGTTCATGATTTTATTTTTTTTGGTGATGTTGTACCCTTTTAGACTTGCAATAAAATATATCTATATACAACAGTTTAAAAAATATATTACCTTATTGTGTATGCAAAGGGTGACAATAAATGTATTTTTTACTTGTATGTAAAGTTAGCAGAAGGTACCAGTAAATAGTTGCCAGACAGTTACTCTCAAAGACTTTAAGCGACATACAAACCTTAGAATTTTTCCATTTATCCTGAATTTCATCAAGAAAGTTCAAAGTTCTATCTATTGCTTTCAGTAATCGTTTGCGTGTAGAATCTTTATTTGTATCCCCGTCATACAATGCTTCACAGATATCATGTTGAAAGGCTTCCTGGATTTGCATAAAGTGGTTGACATCTAACTTTCAAATAAAAAAGTTTAAAAAGAAATATAATAGATATAAGAAGATGTGGTATGAGTGCCAATGAGACAACTCTCCATCCAAGTCAAAATTTATAAAAGTAAACCATTATAGGTCACAGTACGGTCTTCAACACGGAGCCTTGGCTCACACGGAACAGTAAGCTATAAAGGGCTCCAAAAAATTACTAGTGTAAAACCATTCAAACGATACATGTAAAAGTTCTTTCATCTGACACATCAGTAACTATCTATGTCTCTTTGTTCTATTAAAGCTTAAAATACGTAAAAAGCATGAAAAAAGACTACATCTAGAGTAATATTTTGTGATCAATAGAAAATAACTACCAGGAACAGTAAGGGCAGGTAAAATTCTAAGATTATCCTATCCATGAAATAATTGTATAAATTCATATTTTTTTCTATTCAAAATTAATGTGTCTATATCTACACATCTATTGTAATTTTTCATCTGATGCTCCCCAGAACAAATAAAAATAACAGTGTCTATCTTATTTTTATACGACCCCAAAAAAATTTTGTGGTCGTATATTGGTATGACGTTGGTGTCGTTGTCTTCCTGCGTCGTCCGAAGACACATTGGTTTTCGCACTCTAACTTTAGTTTAAGTGAATGGATCTCTATGAAATTTTACCATAAGGTTCAATACCACAAAAGGAAGGTTGGGATTGATTTTGGGGGTTATGGTACCAATAGTTAAGGAATTAGGGGCCAAAAAGGGGCCAAAAATAAGCATTTTTGTAACTTCCAGACATAACTTGTGTGTTAGAGAATGGATCTCTCTGACATTGTACCACAAGGTTCCATATCACAAAGGGAATGCTGGGATTGATTTTGGGGGTAATTACCACAAAATTTAAGGAATTAGGGGCCAAAAAGGGGCAAAAAACAAGCATTTTTCTAGTTTCAGGACAATAACTTGTGTGTAAGTGTATGGATCTTTATAGGTTCCATATCACAAAGGGAAAGCTGGGTTTGATTTTGGGGGTAATTGCGCTAAACGTTTAGGAATTTGGGACCAAAAAGGGGCAAAAAAACAAGCATTTTTCTAGTTTCCAGACAATAACTTGTGTTCAAGTATATGGATCTCTCTGAAGGTACCATACCACAAAGGGAAGGCTGGGATTGAGTTTGGGGGTGATGAATCATAAGGGGGTTCAAAAAATTTGCGGAGAGGGATTTTTTTCCCCTTTATTTCCTTTTTTTTTCTTTAAAATTTTCCATTTTAAATTGGTTATTTCTGATTTATATATAAAAGCAAATAATAATGATATGGTTTGAATAGGTAAATTAAAAATTTATAAGTTCTTAGACCACATTCATTCTGTGTCAGAAACCTATGCTGTGTCAAATTTAATCACAATCCAAAGTCAGTGTGTATCAAGCTTGAATGTTGTGTCCATACTTGCCCCAACTGTTCAGGGTTCGACCTCTGCGGTCGTATCAAGCTGCGCCCAGCGGAGCATTTTATTCAATATAGTACAATAAGAAATTTCATAAGAAAACAAGAAAGAAATACACTATAGTATTGTAAGTTATCCATCATTTTTAAATACCTAATTTACTGTATAGCCTTCTCATTAAATGTTTTCATGTAAGTTAGTAAATCATATACCGGTATTGTGGCCAAAATAAATAAATCACACAAATCATAATTGTTATCGCGAAAGAGAGATACCTAATGATACAATTTCAAATAAATAAACTGCTGACATAGAGATATGTCTTGCCTGTTGGCATAAAATTCAGAAAAAGACAATCTGATGGACAGCATAATTGCTTATTAATTCAAAGTCGCTGGACCATGATCTAGTGGACAGGGCCTCGAAATGGTCAACAAACTAAGATGTACAGACAGTAATGTAACTTTATAGAAAATATCATTGTCTATTGTAAGCAGTTCCTATCAATCTTACTGAAGCAGAAAACTTAACATTGAAAATTGCTAATTAATTCAAAGTCACTGGACCATGACCTAGGGGACAGGGACTCAAAAAAGTCATCAAACTGATATGTACTGATAGTAATGCAACTTTATATTAAATATCAATGATCTATCACAAGTAGATCCTATCAAACTAACTTAAGCAGAAAACATAACAATTGTTGACGACAAAATGATTATCATCGTCGTCGCTGGAAAAACAGACTTTTGTCGCAGGCAAGACAAAACTGGTTAATCGCTTATTGTTTTTTGTTTCCATTGTTTTTGTGTGTCGTTGAGTTAATATTTTTTTATGTAAGTGACACATCTGCATTCCTTCATAATAATCCAAGTTACAAGATGATTCTTTAATGCAGAATTAAATTTATGACATTTAAAACTATGTCATTACCTTAATTTTGTTATCAATACACTATTTTGACTTTTTGACTGGAAAACCAGCAACAAACCAAAATAGATTAATTTCAGAAGTAAACATTTACTCTTTACACATTGTGACTTGGATGGAGAGTTGTCTCATTCGCACTCATACCACATCTTCTTATTTCTATTTGAAAATAACACCAAAATTAATTTTTTTCAGCTCTTTTAAACTTTTGAAAATAATATTCTGCTTATAAAATAATCCAAAAATAGTATCTAAGGTGAAAAGGCTATACCTTATACTTCCCTCCCTTTGTCCAGATCGCTGTTCCTGATTTTTCATTGTATCCCGAAGGTACCTCTGTAGCTGGGTCATGTAAGGAACAGTAAACTGCATAATCCTTTTCAAAAATAAATAAATTTGTTGTATATTTTACTTTTTTATGTTTTTTGTAAATACACATACATTTCCTGAACATTTTAACATATATGTGTTGTTCATGTGATTACAGCAACAAAACATTTCTGCTACATAATCTTCCAACATGGGCCCATTAATAAAAATCAATGGATGTGTTGTTGAAAAATCTAAAAGCAATTTATAAACCCATATAGAAACAAATTGGGTTTTGAAATCTGTTGTTTGGTACTTTTTTTATCAATCGAATGGTTGAAGGTTATGTAGATATATGTAAAATGAGAGATGTGTCAATGAATTAAACAATGAAAAAATGCACTATGTCCATATGAAAACAACTCTCTTAGAACTCACATTTTAAAAAACAAAATTTTTTTTTTGTGTAAAAATACATGCAGAAAACATATTTACCTGCATGCCACAGAAATTTGCAATTCCTTCCTTAAACTGTGTCACAGCTTCATTATGTTCTGCCCTTGAGGAGAAACATAAACAATCCATTTATATTACATGTATATATAAAAGATATAATGCAGGTCATGGTCAATAGATCATATACATCTTGAATTTAAACTTTTTATAATTACTTTGTCAAATTTAGGCACAAATATTTACCATAAGAAATATTTTTAAGAGCATGAATGAAAAAGTGAACATCATGGATCATGGGAGATAACTCTGTTTATTCCATTGTAATGTCATAAAACTGATTCATGGTTCATCCAATTACATTGTAAAATCATAAAACTGATTCATGGTTCATCCAATTACATTGTAAAATCATAAAACTGATTCAGGGTTCATGATTATACAAATTACATTGTAAAGTCATAAAACAAGACTCAGGGTTTATCAAATTACATTGTAACATCATGAAATTAAATCATAATGTATATTACATAAAACTGATAAATATTTTTTCTTATAAAATATGCAGATATATCTACGTTCTCTAAAAAAGTAAAGGTTTAGATTAATACGATGAAATTTAAAAAAAAATATAATTACTCTTTCTTTTACTTACAGAGAACTTAAATACATGTGAGCAATTGGAGGAACTCTCTGTATCTTCTTTAAGACATCTAACGTCAAATGAGAAGCATTGCCTAAAAAAGAAAAAGACAAAAACATAAAACAATGTAAATGTCAAATTGCTATGTGACGAAATGTCACTGAAATGAATGTAAACTGTTGGATAGGATTAAATGAGTATTGAGATCACAGTGACTTATAAATGTGGAAACTAAACAGTATAACAGTGTGTAACATACAATTTTATTCAGTGGTAGGCTATTAGCCATAAAAGATATCATAAATAAAAATACAAACAACTTTATAAATCAGTTAAATGGAAAAGTTACTGTATAACAGAAATATTGTCCTTCATAACAGATTTTTCATTTTTTTGATACAAAACACTAACAATATAGGTTTCTGCAAATTTCTAAATTTTTTTTTAACTCTGCTTATTTTCATCTCCATTATGAACTTACCTCCTCTGGTATATAACATACACATAGGAGTTTCTATACTTTTGCTTCCATTCTTTCCTAGGTCCGTGATAAGCCCTAAACGACAACCGTTCTTCACATTCTGCACAGAAAACTTCATATTTTCTTACAGCTGTGTAATTCAAATCAGATGATAATACTAAAAATAATGAACAATAATAAAATATCATAAAATTTTAAAGATGAAATACAGAATGTCATCATGTCATGCATGTGCATCATATCAACTTTAAAAAGTACCTAAATAATAATTTTGATTTAACACTATCAATGTTGGTAGTTTTAAAATCTAAAATAAATTTTAGTTTTTTTGTCCCTTTTTTTAGTATTGACAATGCCACATGAAGTGGTTTTCGTCTTCAATTTTGTTTTGAATACAAGTCATGCAAGTATACTTAACAAAATCTTTCATTTCTAGAAATTTTATAATATCTACCTCTCTCTATATCGTGCTAGATATTGAGCGCTTAGTCTCATTTTTGCTACAATACATATAGATCAGATTTCCCAGTCTGTTGATCAACCTAAGGTTTACCAGGGACAGTCTATACTAACGGGACTGGTCACTATTGATTTTTTTAATAACTACGCCTCCCATGTAAAGCTAGCACCAAACAATTAACTAAATTTTGTGTCTCTTATATACAAAGGCTAGAAGTTATTTGTATATTTTTACCAGCTGTACATTGTAATTTAATTTTTTTTTAAATCATACAAATCTGATTAATAGCCATTTACCAACAAAAAATATAAGATTTTAAAAGAATGTTAAATTATTAAACTGAGACATATCTTTTTGAAGAACACTCCAGTTGTGCTCCTTCTGGCAAAAGGGGGGGTACATATTGAACAAGATGGCGGCCACTGGAAATTTACTAACAAAATACCTCAAAGTTCAAAGGTCTATATTTTAAAAACTATCCGAGAATTTTTTTCAAAAACAGCATTTTGCAATGACAAAATGTATAAAATTTCATAAAAATGTTACTTCATTAAAATTGAACATATAGTTATGAAGAACACTTCCTTAATGTGAAATGATTTGCTATGAAGTCACATGACATCAGCGACGGCACAGTTCTGTTTGCACATTTGTATAGACAATTTTTATAAGTGACCAGTCCCATTAGTATAGACTGTCTCTGGGTTTACCCTCACCTATCATCGAAATGTTACGGAAAAACTAGCATGATTAAACTACATTTTGACAAAGTTTTAAAATATTCTAACGCTTTTTAATAGACCATGTTGCTATTTGGGAATCTGCAACACTTTGACCTAAGAAATAGCAACACTTGTACTTATTATTATTGATAACAATCACTTTTTCCTTTGTGGAATCAGACATGTAATGAATTATGTTCAAATTTTACAGGAAAGTGTGTGATAGCTGAGGGGCAGAAAAACCCTTTTCAAACGTCAGGATTGAGCTTGTTTATTGCCGGAATTCGGGATTGGTCTTTTATCTTTTTTACGGAATTCGGTTTTAACAGTTATCTGACTTTGGGAATTGAAGATTCATTTTTCAGGATCCTGGAAGGAATACTTCATTTTTGGGGGAATTTGGGATGACATACATGACATATGTAAGACATAATAGTGTCCTGTGAAAAAGTGTCCACCTGGACAGTTTTTCATAGAAATTAGGTATTAAATAATGTCCATTGCCATGAAATATTGTCCCCTAAGTGGACAGAATTTTACAGAAAAAGTTATGAAATAGTGTCCATTTTACAGCATAATGTTATGAAATAGTGGACATTATTTCATTGGGGGACATTATCAAATCCTACAAAATGTTATTAAATTGTGTCCTCCAAGAGAAGTAATACAAAGGTCATTTAAATGTTTTATTATACTTGAATTTTAATAAAATAAGAAAGATTCATTAGAAATTGATTAATATAAACAAACAATAGAGAATAAATAAATTTGGTGTATTTACTGTCTTCTGATTGGTTAAAAGTGTTACCTTTATTTTCAATGTTGTCAATTTTTATGGTGACACGCCCACTCTGATGTTGTGTATTCATACGCCAACATGTGTGTACGTTGTTATTGTTAATATAAATAATATAAAAAGCTCTTTGAGTCTTATTTTTGATAGAAGTTTATTTATAATGAATGACAATAATTTATTTTGAATTTATTGAACCATAAAATTAATTTTTGACTCTTCACATTTTACATAATCCGCTTAATATATATATTAAAAAATTTATAAGTAAGAAGATAAGGATGGTTTGAGTGCCAATAAGACAACTCTCTGTCAAAGTAACAATGTATTAAAAAAGTTAGCAATCAAAGGTTAAAATACATCCAGTAATAACATGGCAATGGATATTATTTAATACTTCGATCATATCAAAAAATGTCCAGGCGGATATAATGTCCTGTGAAATAATGTCCACCTGGACATTTTTTCACAGAATTATAGTATTTAATAATGTCCATGTTCATGTAAACTTTTTCATACTAAGGATATTTGTTCATAGGAAAATTCTGTCCGGGACACATTTAAATAAGTAAATATTGTCCATGGACAGTATTTACTATGAAATAATGTCTGGTGGACATCATTAAATCCTACACTAGTCCAAATAATGATGACGTCTTGCAAGGCTATTTTAATTTTTTTCTGTGACACCTTCCTACGACAGGAAGGCGTCACAGTAAAAAATTAAAATAGCCTTGCAAGACGTCATAATTATTTGGACTAATCCTACACATACCCCCCCCCCACATAGCCGACAATACACCTTATCGCTATTTAGTCCAATCCGGAAAAAACAGTCATTTAGACAACTTCCTGTTTGGGTCAACAGGCCGCAAACAAAGGTCATCAGTAACGAGCTGAGGGAGGGAAAAATTTAGAAAGCGATCAATAGGAAACTTTGATAGATTATGATCCACTTTTTCCAAACTCAAATTAAAGTAAAAAAATATTGTGTTTGAAGTATTTACGATGTTTTAAACAGGTCCCATTAAAAAGTATCATGCATGGTGCATTGTTTAAACAGGGTCCCAGATAGCGTCAACTGGATGAAAAAGTTGTGTAATTTTAGAACTTATCCGGAATGGAATAAATAGCGATTAGGTGTATAGAGAAAAATACAAATGCAGAATCCTACTTGTCACATTTCCCAGCTGTATGCTAGGGATACTGTTTGCATTATAAAATATATGTGAAATGAGAGAGGCAGACAGATACAGATGTGACTATACTTTTTAACAGTTGTTTCCTTTCAAATTTAGTCAATTAGTGTGACATTTTGTTTTGTGAGTCGTACTTTTCTAAGAAATGATGTAAATTCTTGGTATGGAACATAATTACTCGCTATTCAGTTACTTCATACGGTTTGCCTCTCTTTATTTTTACATGTACTCCCTGTACTGTGATTTTACAAGTTTTGTGGTATTTAGTGAGACCCGTATGTCAAGGGATCCTTTCCACAACGACAGTATTCCAAAGAATGATTCCCAAAAATAAATACTCTCTCATAGGCATCTTTAATGAAAATGAAAAAAGGACATTGTTATCAAACATTCAAACATTTCAAAAACCATTGGTTTCACCGATAAATGTTTTAAAATAATTTCTCCCATCTGGATTTTTTATACCTTCAACACCCGAGAGCTATATTTGCGATCTTTTGATCACTGTTTTGATATGGTTCACATTAATTTTCCACCAACGCTGACAGAAGAAGAAGAAATTCTCAAACAGAAATATGCAAAATTAAGGAAAAAGGTTAAAAAGTATTTAAGCTCATGTGTAATGGTTTGCTTGGAAAAACAACGTCTTCATGGACTTGTTTCCAATATTTATCTATTTCATGATTTTATTCACAGTAATTTACATTTCCTTTTTTAATGTGTTCTTTATCATACCAGCACTATCTTACAGATGTATTATCTTTGACATACATTGGGTCAGACCTATAATATGACAGTCCTGTAGCATGTGTAGTCTTGACAGTCTCATAATCAGACAATCCTATAGTCTGACAGTCCTATAACCCGACAGTCTCTGAAAACTAAGCCTATATAGACATGTAACTTTTGTAAATTGGTATATTTTTCCACACAAAAAATTATCAAATCAGTCAGTATGACGTCTTGTACAGGGTCGCTTTAATCCATACCTGCCAACCTCTGAAACCTTCAAAGAAGAAGATTTCCCACTCAGTTGTCATAGCTGTGGGGGAGATTTTGCGGGAATGACATTTTCAAGTTAAATATATGACCTGTTTACGTATTCATCTACAAAACACCAATGTTTATTGCTCGCATTTTGACAGTATACTAATAAGCTTATATGAAGACAAGATCCATATCCTTTGCAGCAGCACAGCTTTGTGTCGAACCATTGGACTGTCGAATTAACAGACTGTCAGATTATTGGACCGTCGGACTATCGGACTGTGGGACTACTGGACTGTCAAATTAACAGACTGTCAGATTATTGGACCGTCGGACTATCGGACTGTGGGACTACTGGACTGTCAGAATTTTGGGGTGTCAGATTATAGCTACACTCCCCTTAAAATAACATAGATTGTTTTGGAGAATACCCAAAAGATAGGGCTTTTAAATAGTAGATTTTGAGGGTCTCACTTTTGTCTTCTCCCTTGAGAGTGGTCTCTACATATTTGACTGTACTTAAACAAATTGTAAATAGTCTATCCTGTTCATATTTTGCCAACTTTACTTTTTTGTCCCTCACACGAAAAACCCAAAGGAATTGAAGTTAAAATTATGGCATCGTAGCCCACAGCTTAAATTTTGGTAGCCAATATAAATAGTTCTTCAAAAGAAAAACAGAAATTTTAATAGCCCACACCAAATTTTATGGGCCATTGGCGAGACATTTCAGGGGACATAGAAATTGCGGGTGTTCGTTTGCACATCAGGTCTTGTTAGCGCTCTCACATGTACAATTCTTGCCAGATTTTTATAAATCTTATATCATAGGTTTGTACAAGCAATTACTCAGACAAAATCCAAAAACAGTGCCATTCAACTATTTATAAAAAAGTTATGCCCCTTGGAAATATTAATTATATGGAAAATTGCATTGTAAGTACTCTCACATTTACAATTATTAAAACAAGGTTCTGAAGAGTATATTGTTAAGAAAATAATTGAAATAATGCAAATTAAGTCCTCTGTGCAGGATTTTTACATTTATAATAATATTTTATACAGAAAAGCTGTTGGTAAAATAGAAAACAGGAAGACAATAATTAAGTAGCAGTACATTTCCTGAAGATTTGGGTAAAATGAAGGATTTCGTTTTAAAAGAAAGTCTATGAACACATGTGTTATATAGGGAAAACTAGGCATTCAGTTACATAAAACTTATTTATCTTTTCTGTTAGATTTGAAGGATCATTCAAGGTTAAAGAGAAAACAGCAAAAATGATCTGCAAGACAAGAACTAAAAGTAATCAAACATAACCTACATGCATGACATTTATTGCAATAAGAGTGAACATAAATATTCAAATTGCATATTTTTGCTAGATTATCAAATCAGACTCACAGGAGCCTCTTGTTATTGTAAGATGAAGCATTACATTGCAATGTTTACAATGTAATGCTGATAAGAACAAGATGCTCCTTGTGTTCTTATTAGATTTCTTCCAATTACATTTTGTAAAACAAATGTTTTTCTTCTTCTTTTTTTTTAACAAGACAGGCTTTATAGTTAATTTTTTTGCCATTTTGTGTGCATATGCAACAAAAAAGACCCAATTAGCAAATTTAAGAACATTTCATTGGGCATAGATAATTTAATATAATCATGATATCCCTTTTTATTTTCAGAAAAAAGCATTATTAGCTGCTAGAGCTCCAAAACCAGAGAAAGAACAACCAATCAATGCACCAACAAAACGAGGTATACAATTCATAGAAGAATAAAATCATTGAAAGTTATATCCAACTGAGAACTTTTAGAATCTCTGTATTTGTTTAAGTATTTTTGGTGATGATTGTACTATAAAGAGTAATTAAAAGTACTTTTCAAAGGAAATGGTTAAGCCAAGTTGGCTGATGGATAAGAGAATTATGAGATACCAGGCCTTTTGAAACTGGAAGACTGTATATAGAACATAAACACAGTCAGCTTCTCAAATGTTGTTAGAATGAAACATTATAACTTGCCATTAAAGAATTGAAATGTGTAGCATTGAAAATTTGAACACTTAAATTTGAACTTTCTATGAAATAGATTAGAAGAAAATTAAAATCAGGCTTTTAATCTCTAGATGAATTTAAAATAAACTTGTAAATTAATGAATTATATCTAAAGCATGATTTACTCAATTTAATTTTATTGTAGCGGCTCCAGAAAATGCAGGAGATGCCACACAACAAGCTAAAAAATTATTGAAGTTAGGGGTAGGTAATTAAGTACCATGTTATTATATTTATAAAAATAAGAAGATGTGGTATGATTTCCAGTGAGACAACTCTTCACCAGAGACCAAATGACATACAATTTAACAACTATAGATCACCGTACGACCTTCAACAATGAGCTAAACCGATATCGCATAGTAGCTATGAAAGCCCCGGAAATGACAAATGTAAAAAAATTCATACGAGAAAACTAATGGCCTGATTAATGTACAAAACAATGAATGAAGAACAAATATAATATACAGTAACAAAGGGGGACCACTGAATTACAGGCTCATTGTTCACATATATATACTTTAATTTTCTGCAGTTTGGGGTAAGAAACAAAGTACATTTGTAATTATATGTGGTCACATATGTACTCTGAAATTGGGTATGAAAATTAAGTACTACAGTATATGTAATTATTTATGTTAACATTTAAATGAAAAATAAGACACACGTAAATGGCCAAATATACGGTATGCCAAAAATAATATATTTTGAAATGTATGCCATATATTTTTACATACAATTGAAAAAATAAAGAATGTACATGGACTATGGTTTGAATTTACATTGATATACTTCTTTTTACAAATTTTATAACTGCAATTTTCTGAAAAGCATCTTTATTTTTTAAAGGCAATTAAGATAAAGGAAAGTCAGGAAAAGCAGAATTTTAAAAGATCAAAGAACTTTGAAAAGAGAAAGGTAAGGTGAAAGAGGGGTGTGTGTGTTTATTTGATTGAAAGCCTATAGATATGTATTTTTTATTTCTTGTTTATAATTAAGATAAAAAAAATGGATATTAAATCTTGTATTACAGAATTAATCCGGGTAAATCTTATAAAGGGAGATAACTAAATAATATACAAGGAAATTTGTTACAGATTTCAAATTTTCTTCAATGATCAAGCAGTAATGTGCCACATTTATATATTTGAAATTGTCAAGGACCATGCAAAATTTTGGCTACAAAAAATATATTAGAAAAGAATGTGTTTGTTGGTAGTCGAGAGGCAATTTGCAATTTTTTGTCTTGCTCCACGTGCACCAAGTTGTAGAAGCATGACATAGGCATGCTGTTTCTGGCAGCATCTGTTGCATCAATAATTGTTAAAAATTGTGATTATGGGTAGGTCTGACTAAATGTTTTTTGAAATTGCAAAATAAATTTGTTAACTATGGAATTATGAAAAAGGACTGAATAAGCAAGTGGGACTGTTTATATACATTGTCAGATTCGTTGTAAGTTATGGGCTTATGACATCTGATTTTTTTAATGCAGTCATATCAAATGATTGAATTAATCAATAGTTCATATATATTCATTTGCACACTAGAAAGTAATAATATATATATATATATTGATGAAAAACGAACTAATGAAAGGCAATGTACAGATTATTTGTGTACAATTATTAAGACAGGATGAGGTCAAATTTCTCCTGCTTTTTAAATTTGAACTAAACAGTATAAAGTTAAGAGTAACAACAAAAAAATGTTTGAAATGAAAAAATCATATGTGGTTATAAGTCATTACAACAAAGCAATATCTGTCTTTTTATTCAGGACTCAGAAAAGCTTCCAGCCGTGGGATTTCAACCATTCTCATCGACACATCAGGATGAAGAAGAAAAGGAGGTAATTAGATCAAAGATTTATTACGATGACGACAAGGTTTTTTTTTAACGACCTTGACTACCCATGAGGGTCTTGCACGGTCGGTAATCATATTCATATTACTGTTGTTGACAAAGTAACTCTTTCCAAAGCAAAAAATGTTTTGATTTATGCCAATCTCAATACTGTTTGTTTGTACAATAAGACAAAAAGTAAAGTTATAAAATATTTAAAAAAATAAACAGGAGCCTTAGAATGTCTGTATAGGTATTGATGAGCTCCATACATGTTTATCAAATCAGTGGTGAATCCAAGGAATTTGAAAAAGGATATGCCCAGCAAGGCAGCATTAGGAGTGGAACTTGCAAAAAGGCTTTGCATTAACCATATATGTAGCTCCATAAGGGGGCCTGGGGTGGGGTGCAATGAAAAAGAACTATGAAATTTCCTTCATATCTTTCTTTAAATCATGAGAGAGATACAGATTCCACCACACTATCTTGTGTAAAATGATTTAAATATTTAATACAATAGACAAGTCTCATTTTTAAATTTGAAAAGTTAACTGTCTCAGTAGGAGAAATATTTTAGCAAACTTGATCTCCTGACAATTAATTGCATATTCCATTTTAGAAAAACAGACCAAGAGCGAGAGGACTATATGATACCTTTGTAAGTGGGGGTAAGTTATGCTTTATTGAGGACTGTATGATTAAAGCCCATTATTTGGCCCCTGAAACTGCAAAAATACCAGCCGTAAAATTCCCTTGTCTTCAAAATTATGTTAGTTCTATTGATAAATGAATAGGATGATATAATCTGGCCTCTTCAGGTCAGAAATATCAGTTGTGATGTCACTCCCAACATCATAAGCATATTTGACCAAAATCTGCCAGTTTACACATAGTTTTTGCTAAAATATTTGGTAATGGTCCAAGGCCTTACCTCTAAATTTTTTTTACCAGCATTATCATCTTTGTATAAGACACTATTAAACAAAATATCTTTTTGAGTGAGGCCTTAACTTATATCTAAATGTTAATGGTAAGACATCAAAAGGAGGCTATTTTGGCATTTATTGTAGTTTTTTTTTTTTAATAATAAAGTTTGAATTCAGAATGCAATTATGTTAGAAATGATTCAAAAATATAGATACATAGCTCAGTCTTTTTACACATTTTTAAGTTTGATAGATTTATAATACTTTTTAATTTTAAACAGGAAGAATTAAAAATATTATTTCTGCTTCTTACATGTATTTACTCAAAAATTTATAATCACTTAATTAACAAAATCCAAATATAACTTTATTTGTATAGAGAGAGAAGGAGGAAGAGAGAGGGAACCACCAAAGAAAGGACATACAATATATGTTAATGGCAATGGCATCACAGAAGACATTCTTAGAAAAGCTTTCAAAGACATTGGTACTATTTCACATATTACAATGGAGAAAGACAAAAAGTAATTCATTTAAAACTTTATCAATATTATTATTATTATGAATACCAGTATCAAATATGGAGATGTGGTTTGATTTTCAATGAGACAACTATCCAACAGAATCCAAATGAGGTGAATTTAAGCAACTGTAGGTCAACTTAAGGCCTTCAACAGTGAGCAAAATCCATACCGTACAGTCAGCTGTTTAATACCCTGACATGACAAAATGTAAACAATTCAAAAGAAAAAATCCATGGGCTCATTTATGACAAAACAATTGACGAAAACAAAAAATATAAAAACTATGACAGCAACAAGTGCATGTTTTTCAAAATTTCTATTTATTGATTATAATGTATTCTTTTTTTTTATGCATTTTTCGTAAATTTAACCCTAAAAATTCTGAGGGTGTTTGTAACCTGGTTTAAGTTTGTTAAAGTAAGGTTTCACTGTTGTATTGAATAATTGACAGACCTATCTACACATTGATAGTATAGTTTACTAAGTATGGGTTAAATTATATAGTAAATAATAGAAGCCACTTAAAATGTAAGAATTGCTCCAAATAAAAATTATGAAGATGTGTAACATTTATTATATGTTTTATTGACAGTGTTGGTTTGTTACATTTTTTATGTGTTTTATTGGCAGTGTTGGTTTGTTACATTTATTATGTGTTTTATTGACAGTGTTGGTTTGTTACATTTATTATGTGTTTTATTGACAGTGTTGGTTTGTTACATTTATTATGTGTTTTATTGGCAGTGTTGGTTTTGTTACATTTATTATGTGTTTTATTGGCAGTGTTGGTTTTGTTACATTTATTATGTGTTTTATTGGCAGTGTTGGTTTTGTAACATTTGAGTCAATGGATGCATCAGACAAAGCTATTGCTGAGGTAAGATTATTATTTGATAACAACTAATTAATAGATGTCATGTCTTTTTGGCCGAAAGTCCAAAACTGGCTTATAATATGGTGATGTCTGTTGGGCGGATGGGAGGGGAGGGAAAAGTGAGTACCTAATTTGTGGGATCAACTCCTCCTACAGTTTTCAGTCCAGATCCCTGAAATTTCACAGAAAAATTGCACATACCAGTGTTGAAGTTGTGGGCCTGTTATTATGGAATTGTTTTGGGGATTTTTTTTATCATTTTTTCAGACTTGGGAACTTAATAGTTTTTTGGCAAAATTTATGAAAGAGGGTACCAGATTTGTGTAATCACCTCCTCCTAAAGTTATCAACCAGATACCTGAAACTTCACTGGTTGGTTGCACATATATATTAAAGTTGTGCACCTGCTATCTTGGAATTGTTTGAGGAATTTTGCTCATTTTTCCCGACTTTGTCACTTTTTAGCAAAATTTTAAAATTGGGTAAAAGTTTTAAACTTCTCCTACAGTTTCCAAGCAAGATCCCTAAGACTTCACAGAAAGATTATATACATGTTGTAGTTGTGCACCTTCTACTATAGAATTGTTTGAAGAATCATCAACAATTTTCTGGACTTGGGAACTTAGTTTTTTCCAGCAAAATTTACAAAACAGGGTACCAACTTTTTGTAACTCCTCCTACAGTTTACAACTCAGATCCCTCAAACATCACACAAACATTATATACATCTTCAAGTTTTACACCTACTTTTTATGGAATTGATTGATTGACTTTCCCTCATTTTTTTTATGAAATTGTACAATTGCTTAATTTATACTCCTCTTGCTGTTCTTCATCCTGTTAGATATTTAAGAAAAATTCTTCTTCCCCTTCATGTTATTGCAACTACATTGTAGACATTTTACATTGATTAGTCACAAATATTGCAATGTAAGCATGATGAATGAAATTAATTCACTGTTTCTTAATGAAACTTTAAAAATGATGTTTGTCTTATTTTTTTGGACTGAACATTAATTTTTCTCTTTAAATTCTGAGAAACATAAAAACAGTTCATTGACTATCATTATTTTTCCTTAAGGTTAACTTTGCCTGTCAGAGGATTAATTGAATATTTTTTATAAATAGCTTATTTAAAGTTTTATTTTTTTTAAATTGAAAAAATATTGTCTAGGTTGATATGAATGAACAATATAACTTTGTCACAGTGAGATTGAGGGAACACTGGAAGGTTCTGTCTTTTGATTTTTGTTTAGCAGTCTTTAATGTTATAGATCTGCCAGAATGTTTATGAATGTTTAAATGTTTGAATTTTAGGTAAATGGAGCTATGTTTGAAGGGGTCCAGTTACGAGTTAGTATGGCAAGGAGACAGCCAACATTTGATTCTCAGTCAAATGAACCCCAGTCCACAGCTTCATGGTCAACAATAGGTAAGTGTGTTGTACACGGACCATTTTGCCATGACATGAAATTAAAAATATGCAATTTTTATGTGAATTTCAAAAGAAATTAACTTTTACCTGTCAAATTGATGAGAAACAATTGTAAATAGAGATCAATTTGCTTATCTTTTAAGCCCTTTTTAGTTGTACATAATAAGTGCTTAATAAAGTGTGGTTTAGTTTACAAATACTGGTACCTTTTCAGTATTGATCAGTGTGAAATAAAAGTAAGAATTATGAACTTTCAGATTTTTCTATTAATACAAATTTCCATTTTATGTTCAAAGACCAATATGTCATGTCTTCCTTGATTGAAAAATTAAGACACCAATTAGCAGTAATATCAATGTTTTATATCAACAAAATTGTGATGTTTAAATATGAGTTCATGGAACTAGTCTGAAGACCAGAAAAAGTTCTTAGGTTATTAAAGGAAAAATTACCAAATATATAATAAACACAATTTTGAATGATTGCAGCTGCCAGTTCATCACAAAAAGGTAACCACAGAGACAGAAGAGGACAGGTGCATTATGAAGATGAAGATCTGTTTGGATAGGAAGTGTCAACACATTTGTGAATGGTGTGATAATCTGTTTGAATAGGAACTGTTTACACATATGAATAGTGTGAAGATCTGTTTAGTTAGGAAGTGTTTACACATGGGTGAATGGTGTGATAATCTGTTTGAATAGAAACTGTTTACATGTATGAATAGTGTGAAGATCTGTTTAGTTAGGAAGTGTTTACACATGTGTGAATGGTATGCAGATTTAAAACAAGTAGTCAATGGTCTAAAGATCTGTTTGGGTAGAAAGTGTTTACACATGTATGAATAGTGTGAAGATTTTAAACAAGCAGTGAATGGTGTGAAGATTTAAAACATGTGTGATTGGTGTGAAGATCTGAAACAAGTAGTGAATGATGGGAATGAGGAAATGTTTTGATATGAAGTTTTTAATTGTTTCTGTTTGAATGGTAAAACGAAAAGAGTTGGTGAATAATAGGATGGGTATATATATTTTGACAGGCAATATGTAAATATTTGTGTGAATGATTGTGATAATGCTTATGAATGATCTGGTGTATTAGTGGGAACATTGTGTGCTTTGATTGAGATATTTGTTAAGATATAATTTCATTTATTGCTGTTATTGATGAACTGAACTACAGGAATAAATTTCAAACTTTGATGTATTTATGTATTCAAATGATAACTATATTTAATTGATTTAATATAATTAAGTTATAGTTATGTCCAAACAAATTTACTTTGAATTTATCAAAAATCTTTTTGCCTGCAAAACATGGATTTTCCCCTTTTTTTGAATTGATAGATTGTAGAGGGTCTCAGAGACAAGTATATATTACTTTAAAAATTGGTCTGAAAAAAGAAAGCCAAAAAATAAGTTGAGGTGCATGCGGACCAATCTGATTAGAATACAGATCCTGTCTCTAGGCTTTGCTTTCAAGGATCTGACAATACTCCCAAATTTCAGCCTTAAAATTTTTGAAAGTGTGTATTAGTCAGACAAAACCAGAGGATCCCGGAAGGACTTTAAAACAGAAAATAGTATGGAGTGTTTTAGACATTTGTAAGCAAAGCTTGGACACACAGTAATTTAATCAGATTGCATGCAGACAAACAATGGATTTTTAAAACCCAAACAGCAATGTGTTCTGCTACTGGAGAACATATCTTAAATAACTGGTACTAAAATGAAATCAAATTTATGTATATAGGCTAATTTGTATGATGTATACAATTTTTAGCATCTTAATTTTTTGGAAAGATTGGAACTAGTTCTAAATCTTTCCTAAGGCACCGGCCTCCCTAACAACAAGTAACTAAGCACAGGTTAGCTACTAAATCTACAAAATGTATACACACTGAAATATAATTCCCTATAGTACTCAAGTCTGTGCACATATGCACATATAAACTGTGAGAAATTGGGGTATATTTTTAGAGCAGTTCATTCAAGTATGTATGTCTAAGGTGTGTTGATGTGCAGGTTTTTTTTATCATTTTGATTAGGTAATTGAGTAAGGATACAATACTAGTATGACTGACAACTGTAATGATCACCAAACAATCAGAGACAAGGAGGGGCCTTAATTACAATGCCCCACCTCCTTAAATGCCAATCATATTGACCACATTACTAATCAACCTCAGTCTTACATAATTATACAGACCCTTCATTTTACATCTCAATACACTCAATACACAAATATTTGACCTCATAATAGTATACACAAATGCATATATTAAATATGTTTGATATATATATAGAGATGATAGATTTATTCATTGCCTATTACTTTTGATCTACACTACATAAAGTTTTTCTGTAAATTATGTCTGAAAGACAAATGATTAATTAAGGATTAACAAGATCTTTTTTTGAAAAAAAAAAATGAAATCTAAATATAAATATATAAAAGGTATTCAAGTAAGGCATATAATTTACTTGATAAATCTGCAATAATCATCTGTAATTAATCAACAACTTAGGTTAGTATCAGTGATTGGCTTGAAACAGTTATTTAATTTATAAAACTCTTAATTAGAACAAACCATTTTTTCTTTAGTTTATTCCCCATCAAATGTCTGTTAACAATTTTAGTCATTTGAATATAAGAAGTGTATATATATATTTTTGCAATCAAGTAAGAATCCACATTTCAACAAATAAGTTTTTTAATTTGTTTATGTTGAAAAAGTACATTTTCAATGCCCTTTGCTGAAAGATATTTAAATGATAAATTGATTAAATACACTCTACAACTTTTAATCTTCAATGTCATATAATTATGACAATTAAGTAATTCTCAGAGGAGAAAAATAGTATACCTATGTTTCAACTTACAAACTGCCCCAAAACAACCTTTTTAGATTATTTTTTAACACAATAAAGTTCTTAGCTTCAAGTCTATCTGCCGGTCCTATGTCTTACACAAGGATAATTGGTAAACTTAATATTAGAAGAATCTTTGATTCACATTTTTTTTTGAACATAATGTAACATTATTTGGTTAAGATATAAACTGCAGTTTAAACGAAATTCAATTTGATTCACATTTAGCTCATTTTATCTACTGTAAAAGTGCTTTTCCTTCTAAAGACCTGCGGTTAATGCAATTGTCAGCAATAGTCCTTTATTAATGTTCTATTTTGTCCCCACCATACCTAAACATGATTTGAAATTATTCAAACTACTCTTCCAATCTTTCCATGAGTGATTTCCATCACTTTGATTGTTTATAATGCATTAAAATGTTAACATGAATCCCCCAAATGTACAATAGACACACCAAGAACCAGCATCCAAATAAAAGATTTACCAACAAAGAAACAAAAGCCAACAACACATGGTCCAGATAGCCTGACTTGATAAAGGCAAACATTTTGTGTAGTTGAATCTGATTTAAGTGACCTTTGTCTATATAGACCATATGCCATAAATTAAAACTCACAGTAAACAAGAAGAAAGTGAACAGTCTATGCAACCATCTACACATTGATGGATAACCCCTAGAATATGAACTTTGACCCCCCAAAAATTAATAGGCCTCTTTCCCTTCTTTATATCTTTGAATATAACGGAATAAGTTTCGTCTTAATGAAGTAAGGGAAACTCAAGATTTAATCAAGAAAGCATTTGTTTTGGACCCAGGTATGGAAGGAAAGATTGACAGATTGACAAGGCTAGGACTATATTCTCCTTCAAAAGTGAGAACCATAAAAAACTGCATAGTAGAACCACCATGGTGTATTTATCTTTTCAACACAATTGCTGTCTTTCTGTTTTAAAACTTCTCATACCAATGCATTGATGACAAACTCGTATTAGCTTTTAAATAGTGAATTTCGAGCATTATGTGACAATGTATGAGATAAATATACACATTTGTACAATAGGCTTTATTCAACACACACATATGAATGGTTCCAGAAAAGACACTTCTTAGTATGGCCTTTCATCTGTATAACTAAGAACAATACTGTAGGTAGAAAACCATTAATAAGGAGATTTGGCATGAAAACATATAAGAAAATAGTACTTTTTCATTCAAAGAAAATTCTTCCTAATTTTTTTAGCTTTCTAACTATGATATATATTTTAAAAATAGACTCAGTTTGAAATGAAAGCTGAATATATGCTAAAAATTTTCAAATATAGTCATGTGAATAATTTATATCTTTTTGCCAATTTCTTTTCTGTAAATAATGTCAACAGTAGTTTACCGATGTTAAAATCTCATAATATAATAAAAGAAGACAAATCAAGGTAGTAAATACAAACTGAGGGAATCGCATCAACTCAAGCAATCATCGAGATGTGTACTAATGGATGTGTCTACAGAATAGGCGTCTCCTGGTATGCATGCATCACCCGCCATGCAAATCCACAATTAGTCAAAATGTCACAATCGGGAATAGGATGCTATGTACTAAAAATATCAAGAAAATGCTAACCTATAGTGATGACTAAACACTGAATGGCCACATCCTTCAGTCTGTAAAGTCTGCGAAGAATCTAAGCTGTACCATCAGGTCAGAAATGAGATGGAAAGAACATATCAAAAACATATGTAGCAGGGCAAAAAAGACCATAGGATGTTTTTAACGGATCCAAAATATCAATAACACCACAATAATAGAAACTACATACAAATTACTGTTAAGACTAAGATTGGAGTGTGCCAGGAGCCTTTTCCAGCACAACAAGGAACATCGGCAAGACATCGTGCAAAGAAGAGCTGCAAGATGCGCCACTAACATATATATCATAACTCCTTATCTGTCAGCAGTTGCGGTGTTTTACGGTGTTCAGTGTGGTCGGTGTCTCGCCTATTCTTTACGATGTTAAAATTCGGTCTCATTTCCTTTTATTTGTTAATCTTTTCACTTAAACTAAAACAAAAGTTAAAATAAAAAAAAAATGATAAAAAAGTATAATTATGGGTGTTCGGCGGTGTTTTGCAGTGTTGATGACTCTTTCTACTCTTTTGGGTGTTATTAATTGGTCTCGTTTCCTTTTTATTTGTTAAACGTTTTACTAAAATACGTGAAATAGATAAGATAACATAATGAAATATTGTTTTAGATTATTTTGGGGTGTTCGGAGATGTTTTGCGGTGTTCGGTGGTGTTCGGCGGTGAAAAGACCTACCGGTCAGCAACATGCTTAACCAACTTGAATGGAAACCCCTTGATGATCGAAGGAGAACATCATGACTCACAACGATGTAGAGACTTGCCAACGGGGTGGTCTATGTTGACACACAACATTTTCAGTCCACCATATAGACTCGAGAGGCATAAACGTCGGCTAATTTCAAGTACCATGCATCGTGAAGAACAAGAAAGAATAATTCTACCAAAGAACAATTACTGACTGGAACGCCCTACCACATGCTGCAACCAGTGCAGCTGGTAGTCTTTAATGTTTCAAGACGCACCTACATGAGACGAACTAGACCACCGTCCAGGATGTTTTTAACTACACTGTATATAGAATATATAGCACAATCTCCTCTTTTTCTTACAACTTTTTTACATGTAGATCCAAAAGTGGCAGAATTATCATTTTACTGATGGTGGCCTCGACCCTTTTATACTTTCACTGTGTAGGATATTCTGTACACATGAGTTAATGTGAACTTAATGAAAAGTGTTATGGAACAGTAAGAATAAAGTAAAAATAAATTGATTTAATTATTTACTCAATCATGTAATACTTTTCTCTCAAGAAAGCCCCAAAAGAAAGCTGAAAAATAAGTTATTATATTTGAAATGCCAACAAAATATGCAATGCGAGCAAAGTTAAAGCTGTATAAATTCTAAGACAAAAATGATGCAGGTAATATCAGGATTTGATATCCACATTGAATTTTTGTCACGAAACACCTACTGCATGAAAAACGCATTAATCATAATCAGTATTACATGAACATTTTCAATCAAAAACACTAAAACACTCACTAAATCCATTTTGAAATTACTAAATTGACGCACAAATTTGAACCAGGGGTATATCAAAGTGTTGCATGTATACAATGTGCATTTTAGTTGCTTTTAATTTATAAAAACTATAAATTATAATTTTAAAAAGTCCGAATTGTATTGCAGCAGAGACATATAATACAAGAGATTCGCAACTCTAGTAGAGTCTATACAACAGC